ATTTGAGATATGCATAGGTATACCTATTGTTAGGAACCGGACTTGACTGATGCCACTTATGTTAGGAACCCGGAGTTTTCAGTTGGATCCAATGTAGTAATCCCGGATTATTTCAAGGCCTTGTACCTATACCTATTATCCGGTATTTTAATAAAGAGGAAAGTAAAACTCGAAATTATTTGAAGATTTAGTTTATTTTAACTGTGAACGAAACTGATTTTACGTAAGTGCGACTGCTACAACCCGACTGTTCGCTATCGATCTTATGAAGCAACTCCCAATTTCAATTCTAAAAACTGAAAAGTAAACTAACTATTGATTCATCTCTCCAGAATCTATAGGGTCAAATCTAGTTTTTCCTCCTAGATTTTTGTGGTTGTTTCTGTAGATATTATCACTACAAACACTAACAGCCATATGCAACATCCTCTTTCAACTTAAAAGCGTTTTTTAGAACTGGTCACTTTTAAAAAAGCGCTTTTAAGTTAAAAGAGGATGTTGCATACAGCTGTAATAGTTTGAGTAATTCTATAAGTAGTGCAGTCAATATAATGTAAAAATTCCCTTGGCCTGGGCAAAATTGCAACACAAATGATTCTTTTTGCATTCCATTGTGAAAAGTGTCTATTTTGACATATCCAAAATCCCCATTAATCCCGGCCCAAGAAATCATTCAAAATCCAAGATGACGGCTGAATTCTGTATTTTTCATAACAAAATTTATAACTGTATAACTAGGTGTAACTTGGCAAAAATGTTTAAAATACGTATTGAATAGGTAAGGTCCACTTGAATCACTCAAATTGTCTATTATACATCAGAGAAAACTTCACACATTAGACTTAGAACTACAAGAAAAAAAAAACATTATTTCAAAGTATGGGTTATTTTCCATAATTGAACAAAAATTAGAATGAATTGGCTGTTTTCTCACAATTCATCTGTACTTTCTATTTCTTCATCTTCCATTCGCAGAGGACTATTTTCACGATTTGTTTCTTGACACTGATCACATGAACTGGTACATTTCAAACCATTCTTCATGGCACCGCAGCCGGTTTTGCAGTTACAACTTACTATGCGTAATATACTTTCAGGTGCTGGTGGCAAATCCATTGTTTTCGGTACCTACATACATATTAACATGTATACTCCATCCCCAGTCTGTTGGCTTCAAGCCTTCTTGCATTTGTTTCCATGTACAAATTTGCAAATATGCACGGAGGCTGTGGTATTGACAGCTAATTCCATTGGGGGAAGGTTCTGTGACTGAACGAAACATTTTGCCTTCGATACTTTATCAATAATAGTTCTATACCTAAGTGTATTTAGTTTATCATCTGGATTTTCACCAAATATACATACCATTATCCTCTTTCCAAATTCTTCAACCTGAATGGGACTAAGGTTTGTTGAGCTGAACAATAGTGCAAGTTCACGAAAGTGTTGATCTTCAACAACATGAAAATTGATTGCTTTCCAATATGGAATATTCTGGAGTTGCTGTCACATCCTGTATATGAATGTATAAAAAATAGACTGTGCCCTAAGTCATTTTCGAGCGAATATCTAATGGCATTGATGTTATTCTGTTTGGAAAGTTTTTTATCATTTCTGAAAAACAGCTTGTGGTATACTCGATTACACCAATAAATCAGCAATACCAATAGGTCAGTGTCTTCTCCTATCACTGTTGTATTTTTGATTTTTGAAGATTCCACTGCAGTTTTAACAATGTCAACAACAGCATCATCAACTACTGAACATCCATGTTGTCGTATTTCTTCAGTGATTAAAGTAATTATTTTCTGTTTGTTTTCCTTATTAGTAAGAAACATTTCCTCACTTCCTGTGAATGTCATATCTGGTTTGAAGTTCACGGAAGAGGAAATTCTATTTGTTCGGCGATTTTGGGTCATGTCTTTTATTGTGTATTCTGATGTATAGCCATCAGAAACAACAGTTGCTTGCCCAAAATTAGCTGTCTCAAACGACGCATAAAATCTTGCTATATCCCTGAATGTACTGTCATTACGCCAAGGCAGGCGATGCAGTAAGAACCCTCCATCGAGCACATAACTTGATTCACCTTCTCCCGCTGTTGCAAATGGCTGAGAATTATTTAAAGTAACATGCGCAATCAATGATGTTTCAACAATACTGTTGGACTTTTAAATAACGCAGGTGGAAAGGAGCACAATTCATATTTCATTACTTCCGCAAGATCAGTTTCACTGGGAGAAGATGACATAATCAATCGCTGAAATAACAGAGCTGGTTCAATAGTGGCCTCTTTGTTCTTGAACTTAATGAATGATAGAGAAGAAATTGTTTTTGCCTTGTCATTTCGTTTCATTTTATTCGAAAACACCTCCTAGCCCTTCATCTTTTCCACAATGTCCATACCAATGGTTTTAAATGTATCAACATTCACTTGTTCAGCTGCTGTGACACCAGTTACAATGTTTCGCAAAGTTGGGTCGTTTGAATAAGGTAAAATCGATCTCAGTAGCTCGAGTATCTTATCTGAGTCTCCCGTTTCTCGTTTCATTCGAGATTGCGCCAAATTTTTATGCTGTTCACTATACAACGTTTGTTAGCTTTTGCATTGAGTTATTCCGAATACACAGACATTGACAACATCCAAGTGATTTTTCGGACATATCACTACCACTTGTCTTGAGTGACCTCATTAAACACTGCTCAATTACCAAATCTGCTGGCAATCCCGCCCATATTTTATCAGTACGTCTTATCACATGACCACCTTTATTGAAAACTACAAAGATTTCAGGATGCATGCTGTGAAGTTCAGTCATGTTCTGTAAGTGGAGGTAAACTGATTTTCTATAATTAGTATGCCCAGCTGCTGCAAAAATGGGTAGGGCTTCTGAAAGACCCTCAAGTAGCATTGGAAATGATCCTAAACGATCTGCAGTTACGAGTTTACAAATGGTAGCTACCTACTGCAGATTGATATTCAAGCCAAAGAAGGCTAGTTTTTGAGGAAGATCTTAGCTCACTCTTTTTTGAATCTAAATACATTACAAACTTCTTTCAGATACTCATTGTATTTTAATTCCTTCACATGTTTGCTACCTTCCATTAGATTGTCATATGTTTCGAGTAAATAGTCAAAGATAACAGATATTTCGCCTTTATCACTTGGAAATGTATATTCGATAAGGTTGGTATGTAAAGCGGCATCGATCATAAGGTGTTCTCTAATTGCTCGCGAATACACCTTTCCATTGATTTAATGAGGGACTGCATTTCCTGCATATATAATTTCAAAAACTTCGGAAAAACCAGAACCTACCGTTAGTGAATCTACTGCACCCAACAAATTCATAATTGTGTGAATGTTTCCCAATTGTAGGACAATTGATTTGAGCTCATCATATTCCAGCTCAATCATGGAAGTTCATATCATCAATCATATGATAGCTGGGATATGGTTCTTATTAGCGAGGTCAAACAAGAATATCAACGTAGACAGTATGCACGTCATGTCACTCAAATTCAAATCAATCATTGGTAAAAATTTAATCACCTCCTCTTCGGTGTGAGTTATATCTTTATTACCGAAGACAACTTGCATCGTACCATTCTCCATGGTTCTACATTATTTCAAATACCCAGAAATTTGCCAAATGCGATCTAAAAAACAATTCTTTGGTTCAATGGAAAGTAGATTAACCTTTTCAAAATATGTGATGATGCTCTGTACTCTTGTATGTCGATCTTTCCCAGCTGGAGAAGCTCGGCATTTTTTATATTTCGCCTAGTAACTGCAGTAGTTTGTGGATATGGTGAAACTGCTGCAATCATGCCCATTACATGAACTGTGTTCTTTCCATCCAGTGTACATATATTATGATCAATGTTGTCTCCTACCATAACATGTGAGTTGTTTTCAAGTGTTGATGAAGTGGCCGAAACAAGTGGTGCATTCCTCTCAAATTCTAGAGCTTCATTGTAGGATGCTGACAATCCCAGGGCGTGAAGAGTGTCTATGAGGTATCTTGAACGAAAATGATGATATAGTTGAACAGTAAGTCCTACCTGAAAAGGTGGTAATCTTGACCTGGGCCTCCTTCGGTAATGTTAAGGTTCTCACTTCCAGGGTATATGTCACTGCTAATTGTATGTGCAGACTTAATGTCACTTTTGATTATCTCCGCAGCTGTTTCTAGGATAAGTATCTTTTGTAGCTCGACATCAACAGCTTTATCCTTTCTATAATACTGTCTGAGGATATCATCAGCACTTTCACGCACGTGTCACTATATCTGTTACGCCCTCACTTCCAGAGATAATAATACTTTGTCCAAAGTGTTGAATTAGCTTGCGCTTCATATGTCTCCGGTCATAGACTGACACATCAGATCCCTCCAAAAACTTTTCCATGACACTTATATAATCTGATATCGTTAACTGCTCCTCGTCGTTACTCTCTGCATTGCATTTCCTCTTGTCGGTAAACCTTTTGCGACAGTCAATATGCACTCTACACCCTTCAACTGCTACAACATCACTTCCTCTGGTTTAGCTGCATCTGTTGATAGCACTTGCACCTTTTGTTTGTAGCACTGCACTGTCTGTTTCGTTAGTGTCTTTATCGCAAATAATACAAGTCGTATGACCTTTCATGGTCCGCAACTATAATAGGCGCCGGTCACAATTGCAATCTGCGACCCCTTGTGGCAGTTTTCAAACCTTATTGGGCTTCAGTCAAAAGCCCAATTGTTTACTTCGCAAATTCTTCTGCAATGTTAAAAAAGACGCTTCACACAGTATAGTGCAAAAAGAATCATTTGTGTTGCAATTTTCCCCATCAGGTCATAATTTATTTTTACTGCACTGAAGTAGCTTTTAAAGTTTTTGAGGATTGATACACAAAGTGTTTGATATGCCTACCAAAGTTTCAAAAAAATTATTAAAATGGGTTATAAGAAAATCCTATAAAACTATTTATTAACTGTTAATGTTTTTTGCAGTTAGAGCAAAGTACCGACTACGAGGAACGTCGCATTATCAGACTCAAACTACGCCAAGTAATGGCAGAACAGGAAGGTAACATTAATTTCTTAGTTTTCAATTAATAATCATTTGATGCATTCCGATACAATTTATTATTATAACCTCACAAAATGATCACTCTCTAACGCCATAACCACATAGGAGATTCTTCTTTGTTATTTCCAGCATGCACGGCTTTGGTGGACGAGGCGACCAGAGGCGAAGAAGCCAAGACACCAACGACACCGCCAATTTCCGGACACTTAGAGGGTGAGTCTCAACTGCTACCCTTACTTCAAGGCCTTCTCGATGCACCAGCGAACGACATTACTCCGGATTCCGGCACCGAATCGGGCGAAGATCAACGATCTAATCTTATAGCCGAAGTGCAAAGCGCTTTGGAAAAACTTAGCAATTCTTTACAGAGCAACGAAACGGATATTACTGCGGAGCGTAGGAGTAGCTTGCTTCAATTGGTTACGAAACTGCAAGCAGGTTTGAGTGGAAGCAGCAGAAAGGAGGAAAGGCGTTCTTCGACTGTAAGCACTTCAGGGAGATTTCAAAAGAAGAGAAGCAAACAGGCAAGGCATACTGTGGGTGTATCCAAAGAAGAACTAGCAGATGCAAGAAAGCTCATAGAGCAAATTGCACTAAACGAACTGACTTCTTCGGGTAGCATCAAGCAATTGAGCAAACAAAACAGCGAAAGTAGCGTACCTAATAGTTCCGCTAGCTCATCGTACCGTAACGTGCACAATAAAGTGAAAAACGCTATTGCCAAACCTTTTAGTTCTTCAAACAGTACCTCGTCCTCTGCTCAAACCCCCACTGAACACTTTGACGGAATTGACGCGTTATTCAACACAAACGAAAAAAAATTAGAACGCAACACTTCAGTAGATTCCAACGTCAGCATCAAATCAGCTTACAAAGCTGCACAGCATGCTGCCATTACCAAAGTAAAGCGTCAACAATCGAATCAAGTCGATGAAAACTCTGACGAGGACGAATCGACTACAATTAAAGCAACAAGCGTCTTAGAAAATGCCTCAATGAATCCTATTTATAATAAACCATCGAGTCACGAAGAGAAAAGTTCTAGGTTTGATACTCAAAAACGATTGAGAATGAAACGTGCCAATACTATTGATATACCCAAAAATAATTTGAATTTTTATGAAGATGAAGATGATAGTGATTTTGAGCATGACTCAAAAAGAATAGAAAGCTCTTATGCTTTAAGGACACCTCTAAATGTCGGTAATCCGCATACCAAAAAAATTGTACCAACTTTTGAGCCTAAAACTGACTCAGACAAGAAATTTTTAGCTTTCCTTAATAAGCACAACGATAGTGGCGCAAAAAAGGGCTCAATGTGGTCGAATAATGACACTGTATGGAACAACAGATTTGGAAATATCAAAAATAATTTTGAAAAGAAAAGTAGCCAGGAACGAGCAAAGAATTTCTGGAAGAGCAACGATGACAATATGAAACCGTTGAATGGTAATCAGTTTGGTCCAAAAATTAGTCGCAGAAGTGCCAGAAATCTGCAACAAATGTTTGAGGAAAAGCAAAAGGAGATTCAAAGAAATATACCGAATCAGTACAATCCTAGTCAGAACCATTATGTCAATCAGTATAATACTGGTCTTATTCAGAATCGTAATGATTTATACCAACCACAACATGTGACTGCTAGTCAGCAAAATGTTGTAAAGACAGGAACATTGCAAAATCATTACAATCCTGCACAACAACAGCAAAATGTGGCTCCTCGAAAGCACATTTCTGGTCAACACAATGCTGTTGCTTCTATTCAAAATCACAATAGTGTTTACCAACAACATGTTTCTCCTCACAATGTCGTGACAGGTACATTACAAGTGAAAACAGAACCAGAAAAGCATTACAGGGTAATTCCCCAGCCTCTGCCTGTAAACCAATTCTCCCACGCACCACAAAGTGCCTTTAAGCCCATAAAGAAATCGCCCCAGTCGCCTGGTAAGCGAACCTCAATGGTATTCTCGCCTGAAAGCAACGAAATTTTCAAAAGCGAAATTAAAGATAAGCACGGGCCGTCGTTCCTCTACAGTCCCAAGCCTTTGGGAAGTTCCGTTGAAAGCTCTACGGTTACTTCGCCAGTAATAATCTCTAAACCTTGGGCCGCGACTGCTGGTACCAGTAGAGTGCTCAGCTTGGCCGCCTCTAAATTCGAGCAATCCCCTGTACAAGAACCACCAAAACCTAAAAGAATAACCAGAGAAGCTGCAAAGGTATTTGTTCCAACAAACAATCAAACAGTTGATCGGTCTCCGACGTATTTGCCTAGCAAATCTGAACCTAAATCCAGCACTGTAAGAAAGCTCAGTGGAAATTATGAAAAGTATGACAGTAAGATTAAGACGCAGCCTCAAACATATCAAATTAGAACAAGTGTAGTTGAAAGTCAGTATACGCCCCCGGTTAGGGCTCCAGTACAAGCTGCTCCAGTGGTCCCCCCTCAAAACTATAGCATTCGATATAATCAACCTCAAAACTATTCCATAAGATATGATCAGCAACCACAGAACTATCCTCAAAACTATTCAATTCGTTATGATCAACCTCAAAATCAATACTACCAACAGCAAAATCCAACAACTCAAAATTATTCTATAAGATATGATCAACCTCAACCAATTCAGCCGAAAGAGTTTGCCTCAAAAACCCAAAAAACCCTACCAATTCAAGCAATCGAGCCTGTAGTGCAACCGCCCAAAGCTCAAAGGCAAATATCTGAGGAAAGTTTACACGAACACATTGCTGTAAGCAGTAGGGTGATGTCAGGACCTGTAAGTCAGCAGGCTGTAACCGTGGCGCAAAAATCCCCAATGAGTAGAGATCAGCACGACATGGATGCCGCCTTCAATCTAAGAAATTCCCTACAAAAAGTCACACCCAAGGCTAGTCCTGGAGTCTCACCTGCCAGATCCCCGGTGAGTCAAAGTTTCAGCTACAAGCCACGCGATAATGATGAAGCCAAAAACCCCAGTTTAACTCAAAGTTTCAAATACAAAAGCGAAATTGAAAATTCTGAAAGCATCAAATACAAACCCAGCGATTGTCCTAAACCTACTGTTTCACCTAGCAGCTTTAGATTCAAAAGCACCTTCGAAGAAACCCCTCCCAAAAACTGCGGTGTAGTTAAACCAATGCAACAAGCTACTCCAATCTACAATAACACTACAGCCAAAAAAACTACAAGTCAGTTTCATAATATACCGATGATCAATGTCAAATCACCAGAATCACCACGAGTACTGAGCAAATCGGATTCCTGGCACGATATTTGCTTGGCACATCAAAATACTAATCAGAAGCCAGTACCCAAGCCCGGGCCTGTTAAGTCAAAATCGAGTCACTCGCTGGCAGTACCAAAACTGTTTGAAGCTGGCATGAGCAAGGAAGAGATGCTCAATAAGCGGCGAACGATGGAGGCATTTTTAACAGGAAACAAGCCCTGTGAAACTGAGACAGTTGGAGGCAAATCTATAAAAAGAAGTATTAATAGAGTAAAAACTTCTCAAAAAGTATCAACTCAATCTAGAACCGTAAGTGGTGGTTTAACTAGAAGTAGAACTTTGCCAGATATGATATGTCCAGAACTTTTAGATGAAAGCAACGTAGATAAAGCTTTCGATCAACTCTTTGAGTCTTCATAACAAAATTTAGAATATAGACACCATGCTGGTTATCCATTCCATTTTTATTGATGTATTATGTGGAATATGTTTTTTTGTACTGTAGATTTAGAAGAAAAACTTGTAGATTAGAAGGAAGTTGTTTAGTGGGCGTACACCCCACACCAACTGGAAGAATGTAAATTTATAAATATAGAAGACAAGCAGCGATTAATCGAGTATCGAGGGCCTGGAAGAAGAGGAGCTTATAATTTGGAGGGTGAGAAATAAAAATGGAATGTCAAAAAAAATGCTGTGTGGGTGTACGCTGCACCTTTTTTAACCAAATATTATCCCTAACTGACGCGAATGTGTAATGCAGCCAAAAGCCTTTTTGCTCGTCATACATATCCCCGTTTCGTCCATTTATTTTTTTTTTGGGTCCAACTTTTGTGGATTAGACCCAATAGTAGAATCATCATTTTATTTTTATTTAGTGTTTTTTTTTGTTTTCTTTTCTCACATCATCATACACCACATCAGCACTAATAGGTCGTGCTATTAATAATAATTATTGCATTCGTTCGATGAATGGTACCAAGAAGGCTTGAATTCCTTGGTACTATTCGTTTGGACAGCTATATTATCCTATACCTACTCTTTTATATGTTTTTTTTTTTTTTGTTTTTCTTTTCTCCCCCAGTTGTTTTGAGTTGCTAACATTTTTAATTTAGGCAGTTGCTATTTTGCTAGATCAAATTCAGATGGTCTTTGATTCAATTTAATATTTTCTGTTTTTGAATTTCAGAAGCGGTTGAGACTACCAAAGAGGTGAAAAGCGAGGGTGACGTTACAACGACAAAAGGTAAGCTTGAGGGTGCGCCAATAGCCTGAAATAATTTCTAATTTTTTTTTCAGTGACCACCACAAAGGTGACCCAACAACAGCAGCAGGTGAGGTCGGTACCCAAACCTATATCGCCTTTTGCTAAATTTCGTCAGTTGGACAAGCAGAACAGCGTCAATCAGCCAACACCTCCAAGGTAGAGAATTTGTATTTCTTTTGTACTTTTTAAAAAACTTTGGAGGAGCGTGCGTGTGCGCACCTACATTTAGGAATTATTGATATCGACTAGGAAAAAATAAAAATTTTGCACTCATCAGAATAATAACACTTCTATATTGCTTCTGATTAGCTAGAGTCTAGTTATGTAGATATTAAGTAGGTACACCTATCCTGTCTACCTGATACTAAGAGCTTATCTTTAGTCACCCTAACACAAATAGATACAGTATAACTTCGTTAATCCAGAAGCTTCAGTAATTGGAGCTGTATAGCGCATAATCAGAATCGCAAAAATGAGAGATGCTCTATATAAAGTTTTAATCTAACGATATCTGCTAATTCAGAATTTTCTCAATCTGGATGTAAATTGAGATCTGATACTGTTTCAGACAGTTAACTGCAAGTCACTCACTAATTTCCATTAGTAAATTAGCGAACATTATAATTCAAATATTTTATTTAGGTCAATTTCCTAAATTATTCACACGAGTTTCTGCCTTTTTATTTATTTATCTACAAGCGTTTGGTTATGACGTTTTTACATAACCATTTTTCTAGTATTTGAGTTATGTCATGAGACTCATAATACAACTAGTGGTGTTATGGACTAGATTATGAATTCATAACACAACTAGTGGTGTTATTGACTAAGTTATGAAACTATAACACAACTAGTTTTTGTGATTTGACAAATGTCATAGTTAAACCTGTAAAGGTAAAATGAAGGTAGACAACTACTAGTAAACGAAAATAATTGAAAAAACATTCTTATTTTCCGCTTTGTAGATAAAACGTCGTACATCACACGTGCGTTTAAACAGGACTACAAAACTCGTGTGATTAGAACGACTCGGTCTACGACCTCGTCGTTCTAATCTTTCACACTCGTTATTGTAATCATGTTCATAAACGCACTTGTAATGTAAATAACTATTATTTTGAACCTATATATGTTATTTTCCCATTCCTTACTGGTTTGAAGGTTCGAAAATGTCACTTTACTTTTGTCATACTTTTGTTTACTTTAAATCAGGCCGAAAGTGACTGTTCTCCTGTCACTTTCGGCCTGGAGAACTCACTTTCGGCCCTGATAAATTGTTCTTTCACACCTAAACACAAATCCAGGTGCAATGTTTGTATTTAGAAGTAGATGTCACATGTGTTTATATTGTTGAAATTTCATAAGATGTCGATGTCGGTGTCAGACTGTCAATTGAAATTCCATTTTTGCTATATTTTTACCTTATATTTTTCAAAAATTAATGATTCAAAATAAAATAGTATACATAATTCGGTGGAAAGTTTTCACATTATTATCTCGAGAATTGGTTGACCTCGGCGCTTCGCACCTCGGCCAACCATAGTATCTCTCGACAATAATGAAACACTTTCCACCTCCGCATGTAATATTCTATTACATAGACATAGACTAATTATTATCGGACCACATCTTAGATTGATTTGCGGTCATTGGATTTGAAAGTCTGTCAGACAAAATTTCTGATTAATCACACTTCAGACTCTCTGGACAATCTCGTCATTCTTGTAGTATTTGTTTGTTTGCTCCAAACGGTTCCAATTTACGAGAAGTCCCGGCTCCAATCGGTTTATTGGCCTTCATATTTTGTCGTGTTTCCAGTTTTCGGTAAACTTTTGGGTGGTAGGTGTTCGCTTGATCATTCAGAGCACACAATGTAATTGATTCACAAGTGACTGACTGGCTTTATATCAGCATCAAAGATATTCATCGTTTCACTTGGTCACCTCCGCCTTGAGATACGGATGGTTGATTTTTGGAATGGATGAAGTCCCATGTGTTTTTGATCTCTAAGGACTCCTTTTCTTCATTATTCACCTGTTGCAATTTTAATTTTCTTTACAACTTATTGCCTCATTGTATGTTAGTGAAACGTAGTCTTCATATTTTTTAGCTAAAGCTATTTTTCTTCCTCTTCTGTCTTTTCTGCTTTGTCCCAAAAATTAATCTTCTTCACTCGCTCTTGATCACTGTAATCTTGGTCGTTTTCCTCAAAAATTTCTTCATTGTCATCTTTGTTTTGGTGTTGTTCTTCTTCCTGCTCTTGATTTTTATTTTTTTCGGCATGTTCATCTTTCAATTTTTTCTTCTGATTATTATTTGGTTTCTTTTTAAATAAAACGTCTCTTTACTATTATTTCCCGTCTGTTTTCATCTATCAAGTCCAGATTCATTCCGTTCACTTCACTCGTCTAACTTCTACCGGAAATCTGCATTCTTGATAAGTCTAGTTTTTTGTTTGTCCACCTTTCATATGGAGTTTTTTGAAGAGATTCTATTGGGCTTCGATTGAAAATATAAGTCGAGACTCTGACGGATTTTCCCCAACATTTTTCATCTAGTTGAGTCAAATATTAAGGATCTGGATATTTCCAATAATGTACGATTCAGCCTTTCAGCTTTGCCATTCAGTTGAGTTGTGCGTGGTTTTGTCGGGTCCATTTTTATCCCTTTTTTCACCACACCAGTTTATTATCGATTGGTTCACGTAAGTCAGTGTAAATAATTTCTAATTGCCTTGTTGCTTCAGTTCTTAGTGTCAAAAGAAAATCTTACTTGCTTTGTTCTCAAACATATGTTTCGCATGAAATCTCAGAACACTCACAATCTTTTTTATTCATATTCGACCCGATGGCCATATTATTTTCAATCATTTTTTTGCATGCTTCTCATATATTCATGTGTCCTAGTATTTTTACTGACAAACCTACTCCCTGAAATGGACACAGTAGAGTAGACATCACTATCATGGACGTGAGCGAGACTTGATGGCCAGGCACAATAGATGGATAGATAGGCTGTCTACTTCTCTGGAAACCCAAGACCATATATGCACAAAAAGAGAATATTAGTAAATATGTCATCAATTTCATCCCTCTGTCAGACAGGGTGATGTTAATTATTACTCGGTATTGAGTGATTGCATGTGATAATGATGATGTTAATCAATTGAATGCCAAACCAGTAAACATAAATATTATCCAGATGTATACAGGTTTGGCAAGTCAACATCTTACATGCCTATTTTAATGCAATACAATGAAGTGTCTAGAAAAAGTCCCTGGTTAAATAGAGCAAGAAAACAATTTCCCCTGTTCCACCTCCAGCATGGAGCGCTGGTAATGCTGAAGGTGGAACAGGGGAAATCATTTTCGTTCTCTATATTTAACCTTATACTTTTTCTAGACTTTTCATTCTATTGCATTGAAATTGGCCTGCAAGATGTTCACTTGCCAGACCGGTATATACTCCCACTGCAGATAAGGAAAAACACGAATTAGAAAAATTCTACCATCAGATAGAAGAAGTGCTAAAAACAACAAAGAAACACGAAGTAACAATACTGATGGGAGATTTTAATGCAATAGTGGGATACACCTGATAGAAGGCCACGGGCAACATTACTGAAAACTTCGGTTTCGGAAAAAGTAACCCAAGAGACTAATCGAATTCTGCCAAAAGGCTGACTTTGTTGTTGGCGAATACTTGGTTCTAACTTCCAGAAAGACGCCTATAGGTATGCTCACATGAAAATCGCCGCAAGATGGACAACATGGTAGAATAGTGCGGAACCAAATAGTTTACATATTGATAAATCACCGATTCCGAAACATCATTAGAACCTATAAAACTTACCCAGGCGCCGACATAAACTCAGACCACAACTTACTCTGTTCCAAAATTCGAGTTAAATTTGAAAGACCAACAAAGTCAACTAAACCAAACAAAATGTGCCTCGATCCCCTCAGAAATTCGGAAGCACGTGAACGGAGATTCCAACAAATAAACGCCGGAATACACAAAATAAAGGAAACGCCAAACAAAAACAAAACCATCAATGGATACTGGCCTGAGATACAAAGACCGATTATGGAGCAATCAAATGAACAATACTTGAAAATATTTGACAGACGAGCAAAATACGAATGAATGACACATGAAATCCTTAACCTAATGGAATCCTGTAGGTAGGAAACGTTAAAATAAAGACATAAAGAAATACCGTGAGTTCAACAGAACCATAAAAAGGATTGGAAAATCAAACAAGCCAAAGAATTTTACCTGTGAAGAGATAGAAGATCTCCAGAAAAAAAAAACACGACAGCTTCATTCTCCATAAAAAGCTCAAATACAACGCCGGATTCAGAAAAACAAAACATGGACGGGAAATTCCTTGATCAGGAACAAAAATCCGAGTCACTGTGACATCGAGACTGACTAGAGGCCCCTGTATACTGAAGACAGAAAGAAGTCAGGAAAGCAGTACAACAAGCCAGAAATAACAAGGCGCCCGGACCAGACCAAACTCCTATGGAATTGCTTAAGTTTCTGGACGAAGAGAGTTTTACCTGCTTAACCACACTTTTTAATAAAATATATAAGGGAAGAAAAAATACCCGATTGGCTAGAGTCGCTTTTTCGCCAAGTCTTTTCAACTTATACTCGGAAGAAAAATATTTCTGGTAGGTAAGCTATAGATGACAGACAAAGTGTAAGACTCGAAGCGGTGGAGAAACAATTAACAATATTACATACGCTGATGACACAGCCATTCTTGCAGAGTATATGGAAGATCTACAAACACTGATAGATCGGGTGAATAAAGCAACCCGTCGGAGAGGTCCTAAAATCAACAATACCAAAACCAAGTGAATGGTAGTCGGGAAAAAATAAATGTACATCAATGGTAGATTTGGGTCCATGAAGAGGAGATAGAGTGCGTAAACCATTCCATCATTTCAAGTACTTGAACAGCTGGCTGAATACGAGTGCGGACTCTGATGAAGAGATAATATTGAAATATCACGAAAAGTCTTTATAACATAGAAACCAGCTATGTAATAGAAAGCTGTTAATGCACCTTTGTGAAAAGGTCTTGAGATGTTATGTGTGGTCTGTCCTGCTTTACGGTTGCGAGAAATGGACACTAAAGGACACAATGATAAGCAAGATAGAAGCATTTGAACTGTGGTCCTACCGCCAGATCCTATAAATATCGTAGGTTTCACACACCTCCAATATAAGGATGTCCTCAGAATGGTGAACACGAAACGACAACTGCTGGACTCTATGCGGCACCCGCGGCAGCCAGTAAAGAAGGATTCCAGGACATTGAAGACATGATGATGACCAACGTCTGAAGATAGACAGGGCACCTCAAGAAGAAGATACCTAATTCACAAAAACATGAAATATGTCCTGGTTTTCAGCATTTGTAACATAATTGAAAATGCCACACATTCCCCTTTCTCTTCCGATTTTTATTCATATTTTCTTCAACAATTACTCTTGCAATTAAAGGATAACGCACACCTAATATGGAAGTTTTGGGCTCTATGGATTTTGCCCATTTTTTAAAATGTTGTAGAGGATTTAATTCTTAACAACCTTTAAATGGGACGAAAGTGTCATATTCTTCCTCACCATCATTGACTATTTTATGCAGACTATTTGCTTCAATCAATATTACCACTTGGAAGTTGAAAGTTTGATATTTCAAAAGTTTCTACATTCTCATAATTTTTCCATATTTCCTATTTTTTCACTGGTCATTATGTTAGTTTCATTCTACATAGTAACTTTCCTTTCTTCACACAGCTCATTTATTTTATTAATATTTTATTTTGTTTGATACTGGCTGGAGACTGGAGCACACCTGGGACCTGGGCCGTAATTTTCACTTTTACTACACCTTTTCCATATGTATTTCAGAGATCGTCAGTTTAATTTCAGAATGCGTCAATTGAAATTCAGATTAGTAAATTGTATTTCGGAAAGCGTCAATTGTATTTCAGAATAAATAATTTTATCTGGGAAAGAATCAATTGTATTTCAGATTAGTTTATTTTATTTCAGAAAGTGTCAATTGTATTTCAGATTAGTTAATTTTATATCAGAAAGCATCAATTGTATTTCAGATTAGTTGATTGTAGTTCAGAAAACGTGAATTGTATTTCAGAAATTGTCAGATGTAGTTCGGAAATTACATAGTAGGTATCTACGCAGATTTATAAATTTTATTTAATACACTACATTGATAATATCTGAAATACATTTGACGAATTCTGAAATACAATTTACAATTTCTGATCTACAAATAAATAATCTGAAACACAAATGACGATTTCTGAAATACAAGTGACCAAACTGAAATAAAAATGACTTTTTCTGAAATACACCTGACGAATCTGAAACACAAATGATGTTTTCTGAACTACAACTGACAAAGTTGAAATACAAATAACACTTTCTGAAATTCAACTTACACAACTGAAATACAATTGACGCATTCTGAATTAGAATTGATGAATCTGAAATACAAGTGATACATTCTGAAATACTTATGGAAAAGGTGTAGAACAGAACTGCTTAACAAATCTGATATCATCAAAAAACATTTCTTTTCATAATAATTTGTGCGACCCCAAATTCAGCAAGATGTTAAATTGGCGAGCGGTGACTTTAGTTTCTGAGTTGAGACACAGATTAATGTGGGTCCTATTTGCGGGTGGAGAGTAAAACACAGAAATATTGTGGTCAATTAAAATAAAGTTTATTTTATTAAAATAAATAAAACTTGTTATTAAATAACAGGCGTCGGTCATAAATAATCTTACAATAAAATTATTCAATCTCTAATAAGCATCTAATTAAATGTTAAAGAAAATTTATATGATTCCAAGTAGTTTCCCCTACTGAAATGTTTTTATTATAGATAAGCGTAAAAGTTTCCTTGTATGCAACAAATTACCAAAATTTTAATTTACAGTGTGACTAGACTCACACTCTTGCCTTCACAATTTCTGGTTGAATATAAAAACTACTTAGGTACATTTAACAATAATATATTCACTGCTGGCCACACCTTATTACCTAAAATTCTTATTGGTCGAAGGAATTTACTTTTCTTATGAACATTTAATAAAACTCGAATATTTTCGCGCTGCCCCGCTATTTCACGTCGTGCTTCTTCTCTCGGTTAATTCGACAACTTTTTCACGGTAGGTACTGCTTCTCGTTTACTGACTTTATTTCTGTCGTAGTTCTGACTTTTTCGACACAGGTCTCTCGATTACTACTTGTTTCTTCGGTTGAGTAACCGAACACTGGTTAACAGACGTAGCTCTTCCTGTTCACTCGCTCTTTCCCGAACACTGCTTTTCTCCTGCCAAAGTCGCCTTTTTATATCATTGGTCCCCCCATTGTCTTGAATTTCTTTGTTTTTTCTGACCTCGATTTTACGTGGTTGAATCATCCGATCAATTAGTGTATTTGGTCCCCTTTTAATTAATTATCAAGGGCGTCGCTAAGTGGTTTGTTAAGTGGGTATCATCATATAGCCTCGTGCGTGATTTATTGATCCTTCTAGGAATTTTTCGGTTCCTTTGGAATGTTAATTGTTGAAAAGGTCCATGAACTTTTGCTTTATTCTCGTTCCAATGTATTAGTCAATTATTTTGTTTAATTCCTATTGGCTGGTCATTCTTGAGAGGAAGGGTATCGGCTTTCAATAATTTCTGGATATCGATGTTCAGATAGATTTTAATTGAAGTTTCTGGTTGTGCTGTCTGAGTGATGATCTCTCCTGGGATGGTTGTTTGGTAAGTCCTTGTTATTCTTGTTTAAAATTTCTATAGTCACTACAAATTATTGTTATCCTTTCCATAACGGATTGACTATTGATAAATGATACAGTTCGTTCTTTGCTTGATTAATGACTTATAATTACATACATGTAAAGAGTGTCTCAACAATAACTTGAACACTTGTCTCTAGTCTCGTCTCTCAGTGCATATGTCCAGTCGAATTTGTGGATCAAATTTTCAACAGTAGGCCGCGAAGCTTTTTACATTTCTGTAACACATATGCCCAATATGGCCGACTTGGAGCTTGACAGATAGAAATGGCACGCGATTCAAAATTCAAGTTTTTGTTGAGACCCGCTTCATAACTACCTATCTTCCTTTTTAACGTCGAATTTGAATAAAATCTCTCATTCTGGATAATTCACCGATTAGGCATTTGTTTTGTCTGAACCAATATCAAGGTGTCTGGATTACCGGAGTTGTACTGTACTTACTTTACTTTTCAGTAAAATACCTATCGTTGCTTGCTGAACATATACAAACCCATATTAATGAATTGGCGTAAGGTGGCGAGAATTAGGTAATTAGCTATACCAGATTTTATAGACGAGTCAAATAATTTTACTGTTGCCTTCTCGTCACTTATGCGACAGTCATAACTTTACCAACACGTAGAATAATAATAATAAATTAAACTTCCATTTCAAAAATTACAAGAAATCAAACAGCGGAATTATTGTTTTTTACATAGTTAAGGTATTGACAATATTGCTGTGCTGGGGTAGATCAAGCTATCCTACCTCTGTTTATTTATTCAAATCTCATTTGACCAAGCATAAGGGTGATCAGCAGAGCATTTCTTTTTTCTTTCATTGAGAACAACTTACGGTAAATTATTTGAAATGCTGAAGAGTGTTTCTGAGAAAATCAAAAAAATGTATCAATAGTAGTTTTCATTGGCAATTAATTCAAGAGACAAGAGACTTGATCAATTGATCTGGTTGATGTAAATTTAGCTTTTTAAAGGTTGTGGTTTTGCTTCCTCAACTTAACTAAGTACCTATATACTCTGGTTTTTAATTTCACATAAATGTGTCAGAATGCATTTATTATATTAACGAAATATTGATAAAACTGTAAGCAGATTTATAATAACTGTTAAAATCTTTCTCCTGCGCCTATGGGCTATTATGGGTAGTATAATTTACAGAAATACGCTTCATGAAACCCGGAAACCCACTGTTTGGCGAGTGGATTTTTCGAATGGATGGCTGATAAGGATATATCAAGCGTTTCGAATGTAGGCTTATTGAAACTGTTGGTTCACTCTGTAAGAGGTTTAAGGGATTAAAATTTGGTGGGTTTGAGGTCTGTTCTCACAAGAGTCTCTGACAGTTTGCAACCTGTCTGAAACAATCGCTCACCTGAGTTACCGATTTATCTTGGAACGACAACATTGAGAACATGCATGAGCAATAATGCGTTCTTGACAGAGATTCTTGTGAGAACAGACCTTTGACTTATCGTACCCAGTCATTAAAAAATAAACTATACTTAGCAATATTGTCAACGAAGTAGATAGTTATAGAGTTCCAATTTGATTTCTTGTTAAAAATTTATCGATGCTGTGTCACTCTTTTAACACTAAAATGGTCGCAGCACCCCGGGCACACCCCGCGGCAGCGGGCCCCTCTTTAAATTCACCGATCCGGCCCTAACGCAGTCCGCGAGCACGATTAAAGACCGCCTCTTGCACTGGTGTCGGATGAAGACTAAGGAGTACGAGGTACGGACTTTGGTGTTTTTTTGTGGTTTTTGAGGAGTGGATTTTTTATTTGGTGCTGTTTTTAATATTGCAACTACCACAAACATTTTTTTTGGGTGCAGATTTTTTTTTAACCCCTAATCTGCATGAAGCCCTAGATTTTTTGTTTTTTGCCAGAATATATCTACTTATTTATTTTGGTTTTTCAATATTATGTATGTATTTTCCAGAACATTCAACTAGACAACTTCTCCAGCAGCTGGGCAGACGGGCTAGCCTTTTGTGCACTAATCCATCACTTCCTACCCGAAGCATTCGATTACAGCATTCTGACGCCAAAGGACCGTAAACACAATTTCGAGTTGGCCTTCCGAATTGCAGAGTAAGTATATCTCCCTACAGTTTAAAATTTACCCACATACAGGTATAGTATTTTTAATCCGAATTGAAACTCGCACTTACATTTTTGACAATATTCAAAACCGGTTTGAAATAGTCAATGGAAACACCATTGCCTATTTCATGAACGCGAGAAAACGGCTTAGATGTTGTTTAAGTGTTTCAATTCGGATTAAAAATACTATACTTAAGTAGGTTCCTACAGTATAGGCATAGCGACAATTAAGCCTGTGGAATTTAAGCAATTGTAGCAAATAAATTATTGTTCATGTCTAATTGTTTAAAATATTTACTGACCAGTGCACTGGCGTTGCCAGGGGGGGCAAGGGCGCATTTGCCCCCCCCCCCCAAGACCCTCAAATTTTATGAATAATTCTTCAAAATTAAAATAAACAGTCCCAGAACTAGCGTAAAGAAACCTATAAAAGGGGCGCGGCACCCAAAAATTTCGCAATTTTCGACAATTAATATGGCGTATGACTCTCTGGTCCTGGTCTTGGTGGTCTTACTTTATTTTGATTGTGCCCATTAAAAATGCACGAGTATTCATTTTATTTAATAAATATACTGGTGCGTAGTTTCAAGTTGGATGCCGTTTGCAGCTGCTCTTCTGATTCTGCTAATACCAGGGTGTCGTCTGCGTATCTTATATTATTTATGACTATTCCATTTAATTTAGCCCCACCTGAAAATTTTTGAAGGGATTCTCTGATGATGTGTTCGGAGTATACGTTGAATAGCAATGGTGATAATATGCACCCTTAGTATGCACCTCTGCCTAACACCTGTGTATATCGACGTACTTGGGTGTTGCCATTTTCTGTTCTGACACATCCTTTATGAATCCAATATGTGTGCCCTATATTGCTCCTGTACCTGTATTGAGATCTAGTGAGAAAGTCATCACATTTGCTGTGGATTATGTTGAATATTATTCGCATGAAAATTTTCGGTGCGTAACTCATCAAACATATAGTTCTGTGGTCTTCACATTTCTTTGCTTTATACTTTTTGAGTAAGGCTAAGAAAGAAGATGTTACCCAATCTTCTGGGATTGTTCCGGTTGCATATACTGTATCGAAAAATTGAGTCAATATTCCAATAGCATTATCACTTACGTGCTTAAAGTGCTCTGCCGTTATTTGATCTTCGCCCGGTGCTTTATTGCTTTAATGACTTCATCTTTCAATAATATGTGCAGATTATTCCCTGTATCCATTTTTGGGAATTCCTGATTACTTCTCGCATCAGCGAACAATTCTTTCAAGTATAGTTCGCCCATATTACTTGTTGTTTGTTGTGGTCCAGTTCTTTTACATTGTCGTTTGGGATTGTTGACATAATGCTTGGGTTTGCAGATAATTGTGATTTCTTTGATTTCTTTGTGTAATTCTATATCTTTATGTTGCGCCTGTAGTTGTTCCACGTCATCTCATCGCATTCGTATTCAGCTAGCTGTCCAAGTAATTGAAATAGTTTCCGCGCTTTATCTCTTCTTCATCGCCCCAAATTTGCCTTTGGTGTACATTTATTTCTCCGACTACCATCCACTTTGTTTTTGTACCTATTATTGATGTTGAGACCTCTCCGACGGTTCACTTTATTCACTCGATCTATCAGCGTTTGTAGATCTCTGCAGAATTGCTGTATCATTATTAGCGTATCTAATATTGTTGATTGTTTCTCCTCCGGGTCTACTTGTCTCTCATCAATAGCTTCCCTGAATATTTCTTCTGAGTATAATTTAAGAAGACTTGACGACAGAACACAGCCACGTCGTCCTCCACGTTTAATGGGCATTTTTAAGTGAAACTTTCTTCAATTTGTACAGAGGCTATCTGGTTGTAGTATAATTAGGTACCTACTTTAGTATTCTAATGTAATAGTTATCTAGTCCTGCTGCGTCCATATATTTGAAAAGTTGGTCGTACTGTACTTGGTCAAATGCCGTCGATGAAACAGACATGACGTTCTTTTGGGATTCACAGCTTTTTGAAGTGTCTCTGGTCGCTTGTTTTACTTTGGCATATCGATTTTGTATTATTCGTAAAAAGATCTTGAGTGTGTGACTCATCAAATTGTTAAGTCCAAAATCGCAGAATTTTACTGGTAATGTAATAAAATACTCTCTTCTTTCAGACAGAAGTTTAGGCAGCTACGTAGGAATTTGGTCTAGCCGGGCTCCTTGTTACTTTTTGCTTGATGCATTGCTGTCCGCAGCTTTCCTGACATGTGTCACCTTTCCTCGGTTAGCATCGTGAAAGAGGTCAGTGACGAACCTTACCCATTATCTGAATTGTTGTTCGTGATCGAGGAATTTCCGGTTCGAGTCTTTCATTAGGTGGACTTGTATTTTGATTTTCTGATTCCGGCAGTGTATTTCAGCTTTTTATGGAGATTGAAGCTGTCATGCTTTTTCTGGAGATCTTCTATCTCGTTACAGGAAGTTTCAAGCCAAAATTCTTTGGTTTGTTTAATTCTCGTTTTTATGGTTCTGTTGAACTCTGATTATTTGTTAATGTACATTCTTGTTTGGTTTAGTTGGTCTTTCAAATTAAACTTGCATTTTGGAGCAGAGTAAGTCGGCGCCCGAGTAGGTTTTAACGGCGGCTCTAATGCTGTTTCGGAATCGATGATCTATCAATATATGTAATCTATTTGGGTCCGCATATTCTACCACATTGTCCAATTTGCGGCGATGTCCATGTTCCATGTATACCGGTCTGGCAAGTAAACATCTTGCAGGCCAAACAGGGGAAATTGCTTTCTTTCTCTATTTAACCTAGACTTTTTCTAGACATTTCATTCTATTGCACTAAAAAAGGCATGTAAGATGTTGAATTGCCAGACCTGTATAGGCGTCTTTCTGGAAGGAATCAAGTATTCGCAACAACAAAGTCAGCCTCTCAACCGAAGTTTTCAGTAATGTTGCCCGTGGCCAAACCAGCAACACAGCAAACGTCTAAACAAGTTTTCTTTGTGTTCATGTCATGACGTTCTAGAAGACGATTTCGGAACTTTTTTGAAACGTCCGTTTTCAACGGCTATATGACATTTGAAGCTGTGACATTTGGACTAGAAAAAAATGTCCACTGGACGTCCTTAGTTACTTCACTTTACCCGACATTGCGACGTCCAATTGGAGACGCTTTTCAAACATTTTTGTGCTATTAGAGTTCATCATCAAATCCTTCAGGTTGATAAGTACCTACTACATAAAAATATCTTTCTTAACATTTCTGTTAGAAGGCTTTATCTTTACATCGAAAGTCATTAATTTAATTTTCTTTGAAGCTGCAGGAGTAAGAATTATTCTGACCGACACATGACATGCTAAATGCGAATAATCAAGTCCTTCTATTATTTGTTCATGATCTTCAGCTACAAGTCTGGCTTTAAATTTGCCATATTGTTTTTGACGTAGAATCCAACGACAGGTAAAGTCAAGTCTCATGTCTCCAATTTTATCAATAAGTTGAACTCTTCAGTCATAGCATTATTCCAATTTACATTATTTATTGCATCTGAAACAGAAATATTGTCAGCTTCTCCAATCATAGCCCTATTTGGACAACCCATAAAATAATCATTTAGTTTCCTAGGTGGTTTTTGAGATCTATCACGTAATCTGATCTGTGTTTGATTTTGAATATTGTTAGTAATCTGCTTGCTTACCAATGTTGGGAATTGGGAATTTGCCGATGCCACGAATGTTGAGTACTTCGATAATTAAAACTCGGTTATTGAATAAAAATGCTTCGTTTATTAAAATTCTTGTTGAGGGGGGACACTTAGTTTAAAAAATTGACAGGCAACCCGACTATTCGGAGCGAAGCTTGAAATCTGAATGTGATGTTTTCAGCGTGAAGATGGAAGTCTGAATGTCCTTCTCTCTAACTATCTGCCACCCAGGCAGACAAGTTTGGACCTTTCGAAAAAGGGTATTTTACAGTTTCCTAAAATTAACTTATCCTTTTTACAAAGTTTATGAATGTGCCAAAATCTATTTATTAGGTACTATATTACTTATAAAGTTTGTACAAGTGTGGACGATGACGTAACCTAAGGGACTAAGGGTCCAGACAATAAAAGAAGGTCGGGTCGGTATGATAATATTGGGCCGACAAAGACATCGTCGGTCTCTCTGTAAAATAGATTGGTTACAATAAAACAAATTAAAAATATAAGAATAATCAAATGTTAATACAATTATTGCTGTGCTATAATATTGGGGTTACAACAATATGCTTATTCTCAGAACTTCCTCTCGATTCACTATCTTAAACTTCAAAGTCTGAATCACTTCCATGCTCAGAATTTTCTTCTAGATTTTCAGACTAGCTGTTTCAATTTTGATTTTCTCATCAAAGATAACATTGCCAGAACTAACGATAACATTTTCTTCAGGTAAAGCTATGTGGTATCTCACAAAATCTCTTTTTTTTAATTTTTATCCGGTTTTTGCCTTTCTATGAAATTCAACCAAAACATAGCAATCACATCAAAAAAATTTTTACACCAGATTTTCTTCAAAATCACAATTCTGGTGAACTTTTGGCTTTTGATTTGCGAGTCTGATTTATATAGTGAATACCAGATAATTGGCTGCTTTTGCCTATAAAGTTTCGTCCACATATTTAACAACAGACTGAGCTAACTCTACAATAGTACGCATTTCTCTTTCAATTCGGCCATTCTATTTAGGAGTTTTTGAGAGGAAAACTCCAAAAGTGTAGGCAAATAAGAGAAAAATTTGGCCGAAATTTGAAATAATAAGCTGAAAATTGGTAAAAATGTTACTGATGTCTTTATTGAAATCCCAAAAAATCTATCTTGAGGAAAATCCGCTATCTGGAAAAAACTGGCCCCATATTGGAGTATTTTGGTCAAAGTTACGAGAAAATTTTTGTCTATTTCTGTCTGCATTCTTTTTGTCTTTTGTTTTTGATCTTTACTTGCTCATGTGTCTCTTTATCTATTGTATGTTCTCTGTTTCATTTTCTTCTCTAGCACTTTGTGTGTCTTTGCTAATCGTCTTAAGATTGTGTCTGTGACGCTAGGTTAGCACATTTGTTTATTTTTGTCACTTGTTTGTCGTATGTTGGTGTCTTAGATAAATCTCTAGGTCGCCATACTGCAACCTTATTCAACCTCGGATTTGCCTCGGATGGTCAAGGCTGCATACTTTCTTGACGTGTTGCGCGTCTTCTGTCGCATTCTGATTGCACGTGCATTTCCAGTCGGATTCTTTCAGGTTGAAACTTAGGATGTACTGCTTAAAGTTTCCGTGGCCTGTTAACAGTTTTGTCGCCTTGAAACTAAGCTGAAGCTTGACAGTCCATCCCTACTTCTTGGCAGTGTTTGTACAACTATATCTGCCCTTATCTTTCTTATTCTAAGTCCTTTGCCATTGTGTTGTAATATTGTGCTCTCGTTCCTTCTTTATTATGCCTGTCTGCTGCTTTCTTCCCTGGTATATTTTCATTGAGGCCCTTCTTTCATCTAGCCCCTTTGTCTTGTTCTAGGGTCTCTTCCGCTAGCTTCAAGACATGCGCCTTCAGCTTGTCTTTTATTTTATGTTTCATAATTTTCTCTATCCTTTGTACTCTGCCGTTAACACTGTCAGGTGATCAATCCTTCAGAGTTTGCCATCATTTTTGCTCTGTCTATGTTTCTGTTGTCTGGTGCTCTCTTTGTGCACTGTTCTATTCTGCCCCCGATTCCAATATGTACGCCAATGCCTGTTCTTCCCTCTTGATTTGTACTGGCGTCTACGTGCCAGTTCTCCGCCACTGGGTTTTGGAGCCTGCCCCTTGTCGTAAGGTTCGGTTTTTCTGTTGGTCTTAGCCTTTCGGTCTGTCTATTTGTGTGGAGATCGATCCAGTCTGGCTTCCCGTCCTTGGCCTGGAGCCACAACCGTATGCGCTGCTCGTCATTTGAGGCAAAGGTCTTATTCTAGCCACTGCGTCCAGATGGCTCCATCGTCATGGTCAGCTTTGCCACTTTGACTCTACTGCGACACGCGAGTTTTCTATGTAGTTCCTCTGTCTGTCGAAAGTGAGTCTCAGGTATTTCAGATATTCTTTTGTCCTCGATCTTTATCCTGGGTTCACTTGTGTCTTCATGTCTGGGTATGAATTGAATAATGTCTCTGTTTTGTTTTGATTGTATTTGACATTGTTATAGCCTTCTCCCATGCCTTGCACGATTTCCGGGCGTTTTTCCACTTGCGTTCAATATTGCCAAGTGGACCTGCTATGACAAGCAATTGGTCGCCTGCGTATATGCTTGCGTGTCAACTAGTCTCTTGTTGCTGGTTCCTTGCCACTCCTCGTTTGCGGCGCCCTTGCTCCTGAACGAGCCTTGCATGACTACTGTCTACAGCATTGGTTCTAGGCTAGGATGCTGATGTGAGCCCTCCTTCCTATTTCTGTCTATAGTCCTGGTTAACTGTTGAAGCGCTTCAACCTTTCCCGTCCCTTTACTGTCTTTGATTTATATTGCCCGTTCTTCAGGTGGAGTTGTTGTCTTTTGTTGAGCATTTTGTCTAGTATCTTTCCCAACATTGGCTTTATGTCTGTGTTTCACGCCTTTTGTTTTCGTTTACAATAATTATTATTCTTTCTCGAGCACCAAAGTCGTTTTTTGTTGGATTTTTTGGGAATTCTGGGATATCAATCAGAACACTATACTCAACGTTTTCACCAATATTTAGCTTGTTATTTTAAACTTTCCTAAGATTTTAAATGTCCGGGTCAATGTCTAATTATCCTGCGTGTTTCTCAAATAACCTTTTTGTATCAGTATTCCTAATCTCTATTCCATTGTCTAACTTTAAACACTTTATTCTTGTTCAAATTGATTTCCAGCCATTATCCATGTATATGTATTTATTGTCCTTCTTTAAAAGAATAAAATATTTGGCTCCTCCTAATAAAGATCTGACATTCATTTCACGTAAGTCGACATGTACACTAAATCTTAAGCAGGTTTCTCAGCAATTTTAGAGTTTTTTAAATGACTTATTTTATGTAGCTTTCCATGAACACATCCTGGACTTATACACGCCTGGCAAGTGAACAGGATTTACTGCGGAAATTGGCCAAACTCTTCAAATTCAAGCATTCTGGACTCTCAAAGAATCAGTGAAACAGACTGATCTAATAATATTGGATTTTGAGCCTTCTGCTCTATCCGCCTGTGATTTTTCTATAATTGAGTTCTACATTTTCATGAAATTGGAAGGTTTTGGTTCTTACTATCTTCTTGAGGTCACGCAGCTCTTGGTTCATCATTTTGTGTCATACAGGCTGTTGAAAGAGGCTTAAAGCCTACAAGTATTTTTCATCTTATAGGAATTTGAATGAATTTATAAGAACCAGTCGGATGGATTTTGAATTATCAATTAGTTTTCACAGGCTTATCTTTAATTTTGCAATAAACTACTAAACAAGAAATGTAATTTGACAGAGAAGTTTTTGATGAATTACGATGTATACAAAATATTTATTATGAAATTTCCTGTGTTCAATTAATGTGGCATTAATAATCACATGTACATTTTCTTTTTTCTAGTGAGAAAGCCGACATTTTTCCACTCCTAGACGTCGAAGATATGCTAGAAACTCGAAGGCCGGATTGGAAGTGCGTCTTCACCTACGTCCAATCAATCTACAGACGTTTCAAAGACGAAGATTAAATTTTCGATAATAAATTTTGTAATTTTTGATATCCGCCAAAAGGTATAGCTTTAAATGTTTTTAATTTTTTTTTTGTATTTTATTTCTAGGAAAGGGATGAACTGATGTAAATATTATTGTAAATAATGTATTTACAAAAATAAGGCAAATAAAATACAAAAAAAGAAGTTTTAATTGTTAATTGTAATAATTGTTTGTTTAAAAAAAAAAACAAAATTATTGTGAAGCTGTTTAAAACTAATTGTTATGTTCCTTTTTTTTTAATGTTTGGTGCTTTTTATTTGTTAATCTCTTCTGTGATTATTTTTACTTGTACTGAATCATCTAGAAAAAAAAGGCATTTTAAGTGATCTTCAGATCTCTCGACTTTCTAATTCAGTTTCTACTTTAGGTACAAAGTTTTATACTTTTTGCCCAGCTGTTTTATATAAGCACATTTATTTAGGTTTAGTTTTTATTAATTATGTAGATTTAACGCTTATTTATTTATACTTTTTAAGGGATGTTGCCGACTAGCTTTTGGTATTTTTGCTTCTAACACTTAAAAGCCGATTTTTGCCAATTATATTGTATTGTATTATTGAAGGTATATTATTATTATAAAAGGATAATTTTTGCAGCTATTTCTTATATGTGCCTTTTAATAATTAATTGCAAGTACCCGTACTAGATAGTAAACATTTTATAAAACTAAATGGATTTAGTATACAGATCTAACAAAATATAATATTGTTTAATAAAGTAAATATTTGATTTTTATTTATTCACACATTGTGCGAAATTAAAACTGGAAAATCCACATGTTGCTGATAGAATGGTAATCGATGAAAGATTTTAAATTGAAATTGAAAGATATCGGATATTTTTTCACCTGCCCTGGCATTACTTCCAAACTCCACTCAGCTGGCCAACTCTTTCAGGAAGTTCAAGTCCAATGCAAAGGAGTACAAACGAAACCGTCTTGATTGAAACCGGTCGTAGCAAGCGAAAAAACCGCAGGTCTATTTTCTCGAACCACCCGAAACAGACGGAGTGTTTTTGGCGACTGACTTTGCAGATATCCTTTTTTCAGTGTTTAAGACGCGCATTTTTAAAAGCCAAATTTAGCAAAGCCGTATCAATTTTTAGGCATATGGCATATAGCACGCGCAATTCAATTAGAATAAAAGAAAACGAAAATAAAGAGAAAAAAAAAACACGAATCAATTTCCCAATTTAACCTACAACTATATACAGGGCGCATAGACGAAACTGAACATCTTATAGAATTAAAATTCAAAGTACCAAAAAAACAGTTTATTAATAAAGCTAGTATCACAATTGACTTAAAAATTAATGAGAAGCGCACCTAATTATATAAGACCACTTAAATAATATTAGTCTACTGTGAAATATCAAACTTAAAAATTCTTCAGCTTCAACCTTGTATAAACTCAACTTAAAGCTACAAACGTAAAAGTTTAAAAAAATATTTATTGTTGTTGAATCGTAGACACTTTCTTAAAGTACTTAATCTGCCCCTAGCTAGTGATTATTAAAAGTTGGGAAAAGTAATAAAGTGCGCAAAAAAGGGTCTATAAGGCTTTGATTTGTGGTATGTAGGAAAAGGCACAAGAATCTGTCCCAAACTAATTTCTACAAATTAACAATGATATTTTTTAAGTAAAAGGTGGTTTAATTCAAGCCGCCATATTAACATTTTTAGGATTATTCAATAACTTCTTAGAATAAAACCCATTATAATCTAAAACATCCAAAAATTGAACCAACTGAGGATAAAATCCACTATTCCCAAATTTTTTAACAACCTTAAAGAAATAGACAACAAACTCTTCGAAATTTTTGAATATTTTATCTAGTTTGTTGAAATTTGGATGAACGTAGGCACCATCTTCGCATTTCCAGCTCCTGGGCCTTAGATAATCGTAAAACTTTAATACCACTACGAATATTTTATCGATTATGTTTTTTAGTAGTATCGATCTTTGACTCAACATACATCTGGAAGAAGAACCATTTATACTTTGAATACTCACAATATCACAGAAAAACATCTTGACTTTGTGTTCTATAGCTATTACTTACTTGGTAATTATATCCTTTATATAAGCAGTATGGGCATAATACAAATCATCGATTTTGGTTAGAGTGGCAAAATTTTGTTCGAAATAAGCCCAGCTCGGTTGCAAAACCTCGCCCACTATGTAATTTTGCAAACTTTGCACAAAATGCAACATGACGTGCCTGCACTGGTGTAAATGTTTGTACTGAGGCGACGACATCAGGTAAATTTCTTTTTTACCAGTTTCTCTTGCCAAGACCTTGAATTCCTATATGAAAATTTGTATTTAGACAGTTATACAAATATTAAATAACAACAAAATAATTCTTACCAAAAATATTTTCTTCAAAACCCACGAAACTCGATTAATCTTTACTAAAAATTTGAAAACTTGATTGTATTTAGATACTGCATCTGAAGGAAGGAAAATATTCAAAGGCCATTCCACTTTGTAAGTCATTGACAGACAATTTAAAACATCAGGATCGCCCAGGTCAAAACATTTCGGTAAACTATTGATTTTAAATGACAAATACTTGGAGTTATCTTGGTGTTTGCTGGAATTGTCCAGAGCATCAAAAACTATTTTAAAAAAATACACTGTATTAAATATGAATGTTAATAACGCAAAAATCTTACCTAAATGATGTAAAGTCTTACAGTTAATCAACTCCAAAGGGAAATTTGCACTGTAAAGCTTTTCGAATAATTGTTCAGTTAAATTCCTGGCAAATTCTCCGTCTTGCAGAAAGAAATAATCCCGCAGACTTATTAAATGTTTTAAAAAATTCAATTCTTCAACAAAATATTTTAAAAGCTCATTATTCCCCAACCTTAGTTGCGTTAACAACGGTATTGAAACACTCTCATGTAAATGTACTCCAATTGAAATTCTAGAGATTTCTTGTATTTCTTCTAGGGAAGGCTTTTTTGAAAAAGTTGGCATGGCTTCAGAGTTTTGAAGTTTCTAAAAATACCATATATTATTCAACAAGGCTATTATTGATGACTTTTACACAAAAGAAATTATTTTTCTATGTAAATCTGATTACCTGATTGATATTACCACTAGACTTAGGTATAGCACCAAAACTAAAAACATCTTCAGTCCGATGAGTGTCCGCAGTAGTAGCAGGATCGCTATCGAATTTAGTGTCCACACTCAGAAACATGCTACTGGAAGGCGTGGCGCTTCTAGGAAAGTCACTGGTTGGAGTTCCTGTCAATGGTAAATCACTCATTGGTGTCGAGTCCACCGACATTGGAACAGGCTTGTCCAAATCGAATTTGCTGTTCAATTTATCAAAATCGAGCTGTAAGGATTTGGATTTTGGCATCTGGTGGCTGGTTTCTCTTGATTCAGTTTTGTCTGAAATGAATATGAGTAAATGTAATTTCTGTCTAAGATTTGAATCCAATTTAAAAAGTGCCTCAATGGCAACAAGGAAATCCATTTGTTGAAAGTAGTAAGAGTTTTTTTATGGTCAAATACAACAGTTGTTTGCTCATTTCATTTGCCTTTTAGTACTTAATAATACATAATTGAAATAATCTGTACAAATTAACTGTCAACTAAATGATTTATTGATTAATTTTGATTTTAGAACAAATTAAAACAAATCTAGGCAGCGTTCTAGAAGAAACTAATAATATAGATTTGTCAGAATCAGTTAGTTTGTAAACTATCCAGCTAGTTTACAAACTAGCCAAGTTTACATATTAACCACCAATGAAGTATAGGTACATTTCATATAATTTTTCTACAATGGTTTTATATCGGAGTAAAATACAAGAAATGTCTTGTGTAATAGAACATGAGCTCTTCTTCCACCTTGGAAAAATCAATTAACTTTAAACTTACCATCAGTTCTAGTAGTAATCTCCCTCAAATTTCTATTGACAAAACTCTCATTATCCAACCGCTTCCCATCATAATTTGGCAAAAAACACTCATTATGGCCCATAACTCGATCCCTATTTATTTGCGCCATTGTCAGTGTGCCATCAGTCCTCACATTCTCTCTCAATTCAATCCCAAACTCAGATGATAAAACTTTCAATTTATTCCGTTGGGCTGCGCTCAAACCAACAGTTGTCGTTGTTTGTTTAATTTGATCTTGTTGCTTATTATGCCAATCATCTACAATAATGCCGAATTCTTGATTCAAAACTTTCGATTTATTTCGTTGTGCTTCGGTTGAACCAAGCGTGGACTTTGCCTTTTCTTGATATTTATTATGCCAATCATCCACTTCTATTCCCAATTCTTGATTTAAAACTTTTTGCTTGATTTTTCGTGCCAATTCGAAATTATCCATCGTTGCTTGCATATTTATGTTTGAAGATTCAACATTAGCGTTTAATAAATCCATTGATTCAGAACTATGAACTGGACGAATTTCCTCTTTTTCGTTGTTTTGCTCTTCGATAACGTTGTCTTTCTCAATCCCAGATGTTTCCATTATGTCTTCAGTTGTAGAAGTTACAGAAAAAAAACTTTCAGATGAACTATTGGCTTTTGATTTGCTTTTTTCGGGAGAGTCTTCTATGTAAATAGTTGTGTTAGTTTTGATATGTTTAACAATTTTTGCTTTACGATTATCTACTGCTTGACACAATTCAGTGTAATACTCAATCATTTTTGAGGCTTCTTGTTCAACCAATTTTTCCCTCATTTCTTCTATTCGTACGTTTTCCTCCATTGTTTGGATTTCTTTTCTAATTTCCTGGTAAATTTTGTGTTGTTTTTGTTCGAGTATTAGATCCAATTGTTCTTTGAGCATTAACATTTCTTCTAATTTTTTCTCATGGGCTTCCTGTTTAGCTTTTTGACGTTCCACTACAATAATAGTTATTAGTAATTTAATTGCAATAATTGTTTAAACGTACGTTCGATTCTTCTCAAAGTGACAGCACGTTTTTTGGCATACAAAAGAGTTATATCGGTGCCTTTAGATTTTTCCAGGTACTTTTCAAAACTGAATTTCGTGCCACATTCTGCGGAAGCTTCCAAATAATATCTCGAACAAGTTTGTTGTAGTTGTGTTAATTTTTCATGGGATAAACAGCTGGTGAGCATCAGCTGGTTTTTGCCCATAACAAATCTACATAGTTTATGCTAAAAAAAAAAAAAAATGAAAAGTCTCAGATTTAGAATAAATACAAACTCGCCTAACAAGGAGGCTATTGATTACTCAAAACAAAAATTAACTTACAGAAGGATCGCAAAGTCGCAACAAATTCATAATACGGCCGCAATACAAAATATCCTGTTTTAGATCGATCAAAAAATCGGGTATCATATCCTCCCTGGTTTCGTAGCTTCTGGTCCAATAAGTCCTACCTCTGGAAGATAAATACTTCAAATTGGACCTTATAAAGAATTCTTGATAAGGGTCGTTCAATATGCCTTTCACTATCCACTGATGCAGAAATCGACTAAAAAAGAAATTACTTATGTATTTTTGTGGGAAGTGGATGAAGTGGATGAAGTGGTCCCAATACCGAGCCCCATGTAAGTTCTCAAAATATTGTCAAATATCAGATTAGGTACTTAATTTGGGAAAAGTCTTACAAATATTTTCTTGTATTGAAATAATTCAAGTTCTTTCAGACTTTATTCATTTTTCTATTTTTTTAATTTCCTATATATCTGATGACATAATTTTATTTTTTTATGCTCTTTTTTTATGTATTTATATATAGTTTTAGGTACTTATTTACAATTACATTTTATTACCAAGGCTTTGTACACAACATTTATGTTAGATGCGAATAAAGCTATTTTTGACTTTGACTTTGACTTTTCAGGTTCATGATCCAGAATGAGAGTTAGTTTTGAATATATTTTTGCAGAGTCAAAGTGAGGTACCATTTTAAGAAGATATATTTTGATCATGACACCAATAAAAAAATAGTCTCAATCTTTCATAGAAAAACTTTGAATTAAATACATTTCTCAACTTTTTTAAAATATATTGCTGTCATTTCTCATGTTTAATCTATTCCAGGCTCTTCAATTTTCATAATTTTTTGACCATGTACCTAATAAGGCCAGTGCCCTTTATTGCTTAATATTGAATCCCATTTCCAAAAATTACAATAATATTAAAAAAGAAATCTATAATGCAAATCAAAAATTATTGCAAGGGTTCCTAGCAACTCGTCATATGTCGAAAAATGGCCAACCACATATTTCATATGTCACGTTATAACTTTAAGGCGGGAACTCAATTAGCTGATATACGTGTTTATAAAGTGAATGGAGCGAATGTAATTTTTTAACAGACATTTATGTATTGAGAAAGCTACAGAGTAAGTACAGAATAATATCTTAGCTAGATTTCTAGTTACTGACTTTTTTTATTAAATTTACCATGTTCCTAATAAGCCATCCTACGGAAAATGTTCAATTGGCCTCACATGACAGTGTTTTCTCAAAAGAATGTGTCATATTATTACCTAAGTGATGTTTTTTAGAGTCCCTGCAGTCTAACCAAGCAAGAGAGATGCTGCTGTTCATTTGTCCTAGTTGTATATAGACCTATTTGGATCACCATCCCAGGACTTGGAATGCAAGGAATGCAGCAAACATATAAGTTCTATTTTGTGTACTATTTCTCAAATAATATTTTAATAAATAATTGTATTTATTTTAAACATTTTTAATGGCGGCCTTATTAGGAGCATAGTGATCCAAATAAGGCCAATGGTAAATGTCTTTGTTATTTATTTTAATAAATTATATTAATAAATTGGAGTTAATATTCAAGTAATAGAAGCGGAACATTTTACATACAAGCTCGTGCTTTTTGTTGGGTTTGATGGATAATGTTAGAAAAAAATAAAAATCCTTAACGTGGCCTTATTTGGGACAGGTACCTTACCTATACTCAAAAATTTGTAAAAAAAATATGTATGAGGTTTTTAATTTTTTTTTTTCCAAATTCAGATTAACAATTTGAACTTCTGTCTTTCAAACCGTCGAAAGACAGAGATCTTGAGATTCAAAGGTTAAGGAAAAGTACCGTGGATTCTCATGATGATACTTTTATGGTCAAAAATACGCTAGAGACAGAGATGAAAATGCTAAAAAAGTTAGTTGGTTATATTAAGGTCCGGTTTATTCATGCATCTTCAGATAAACTTGTTGATAACTATCTACAGTGAAATTTTTCGGCTTTTACATGATAAGGGTTACTTTTCCAAAATTTGGAAAACAGCTTATGTCACCTAGGTTTTTAAGGGAGGAGACGGTTGTGTCTTGTATCCATTATACCTTAAGATACATAATACATTATATATTGCAATGATAGATACTAGGACACTAGGTATCCATGTACTAATTACTGCAGGAGGTTATTAACTAAAATAATGTTTTTCGTTTCTTTGTTTTTGAGTTCGCATTTTGTATTTTAATGTTATTTAGGTATATAATTTTTAGCTTTTATTTTAGTAATAATGTTAAATAGTAACTATAACTGAACTAAATAGTTGGGTAGGAACATCACCTGTAATTGTACAACTTTGAATGAACAAATAATTTAATTGGCCTCAATTTGAGCAGAATTACGATAAGATCGCATATAAATTAACTCCGTTACATTTCCAAAAAACAACATTGAGGGAAGTTCTCAGGAAAGTTTAATTTTTCTTTGATGAAAATATTTGAGAGATTGAATTGAAATTTTACAAATGGTTAGAGAAAAGATTGAAATGTAGGAAAAAAATTAAAATATCTTACTGCTCGCTTGATAAGAATTCGAGAAAAAAAAAGTCAGAGAAATTTGAAACTTTGTAGCTGACAAACTATTGAAGCTTAAAACTATAAATTTGTAGAGAATTTGACCTTAATTAGGTTAAGATCGGATTGAAATAAACAATGTTTTGAGGCCAAATGTGATGTCATTTTTGAAAAAATCCAATTTCCAAAAAACCAACATTTATGCATATTATTTTTTTTAAGAGAACAGTTTCAGGTTCATATTTTGCAAATAAACAGGGAAAAGATGGCAATTATGGAAAAAAAATTTTGCAAAACTGTTTTAACAAAAATATACAATTTTGTCGAGCTGAAATTCAAGAGCCTGGAATAAACAAAAAAAAAATATATAGCTTCCCAACCCCAACCCTGGGGCAAATTCCTGGGCAAATCATTAAATCTTGCAGATTCAAATTCCTGCAGTCCAAAACTATAAGTAGGTATAAGTATTTAGACTCAGCAAGAACTCACTTTGCTTTACTATCTCTGGAATATGAACACAAACCAAGGACTTTTGGGTCAGTACTCAGTAGAACCCCGGTTATCCGAAGTAACGAGGAGAGCACCCTTCAAGGATAACTGAAAACTTGGATAATCCAGATTTACGCAAATTTACATGCTAAGAGTGAAAAAAGTCCAAAAACTTATGTAGGGAAGCCAATCACACAGGCCAAAGGAATTCCTTGTCGGAAATATCTATGTACATATTTTAATTTAAATCCATTCATATGGTGTTGTTCGCGGACGACACTACAGCAATAAAAAGGGCTCACTCAAGAGATGATTTAAAGGTGATCATGATGCAGACACAGTCAAGTGTCTCTGAATGGTTCTACAGTAACCAACTCAATCTCAACAAAACAAAGACAGAGATTATGTACTTCTCTATGAGAAATCTGGAAGGTCTTGAAATGTCAGAGGCAGTTCGTTTTTTAGGCGTTTACATAGACCCGCGATTGACTTGGAATACACATGTAGATAAAATTTGTGATAGAGTAGCCTCTGGCGTTTTTGCACTAAGAAATCTGGTTGGGGTGGTCTCTGAAGTGATACTAAAAAATATTTATCACGCTTTCATAGAGTCTAGAATGTCTTATGCAATATTAGTATGGGGCCATTCTCCAAATATTAAAAGATTGTTTCGCCTACAACGTAAGGCCATAAGAGCTATGTGTAGGTTAGGCTATTGGGATGACTGTAGGGGTGCTTTCAGGAAATTCAACCTATTAAGTGTACCTTGCATATATATATTTCACTGCTTAGTATATACAAGGGAACATCTTGAAGAATATTGTACACATGAGAGCGTACATTCTTACAGCACACGAAACAGAGTAGATATTTATACAGATTATCACAGAATAAACAAAATAAAAACAGGCACATCATTCTATGGACCAAAATTATTCAACGCCCTGCCTGCCACTGTGAGAGTGTTACCTCCTAAAAAATTTACCATCATTGTTAAAACTTACTTGATAAAAAAATGCTTTTACTTGGTTGATGAGTTTTATGAAGATAACTTCTCAGACATCTTGTAGCTGCACTTAGCAAATGTTTATATAAATAGTATAATATAAGAATTATTATAAATAGTATACAGGTACTCTGTTCAATATTGTATAGAATATTTATTAACTAGTTCTGGAAAAATTGTTTTCAACTTCTCTTAAATATTGTATCAAATTTTTTTTTTCCTCCTGATGTATGTAAACACTATGATGTAGGTGTATCAGCATGAATAAAGATTATGTTTATGTTTATGTTTATGTTCATATCCATATGTATTCTAGTTTTCTAATTAAGTTATTTCCTCGGTAATTTCTATTTAGGATATTAGGATTTCCTATTAAAATTGAAAATATTGATTGATTCATAATGTACCTAAGTATATGTATATTTTACTAGCTCAGTTAATACGGAGTATAGACGCGCGTAGCTTGGTTAATCAGAGCTTTTGGGTCTTTATATTGGCTGAATTAATCCAGAGCTTGAATAATTGCGACTCGGATAATCGGGGTTCTAGTGTATTGTGCTTGATATTTTGCATTAGGCAAATCTGAATCAGACTACATTTCAAGATTACATGAATAAGATTATTGTGGATCTCCACTACCAATTAAATATTTATTTATGTACACTCCAAATTGTTTCTTACCTGAAATAAACTTGACAACAAGGATAAAATATCGAATAAAGCACCAAACAAAGTGTCTTATCGCTGGCACCCATCAACACTTTCTGATACAGATAATTCAACAGAGGAACCCCGTGCGGTGTTTCTTCATTTTCCGAAGCACATGGTCCGATTTTACATATCAGCGCCAGCGTGGCAATTTGATTTTGTATCTTTAGAGTTTTTTCTCGGAAAGACAAATAAAGTATGTCCTCGGACAAGCTGAAAATCGCTGTACGGTAATAACGAAGATATTTGGCTACAGCTTCACAAAATTCCGAAAACACATAACCTGGATGTTTATAGTTACGGGTGAGAGGGTCTTTAGTTGCTAGTTTATTCAAAGCTCTATAGCAAGTGCCCGAAAATAAAAAGCTGCTGCAATATCTTTCAATTACATCGGTGGTGAGGCCTTCAACCATAATGCCAGGTGTAATCACAAATTCTTCTTTTGAGTTTGTCATAAATGTTTCCGATACAATGCCAACCAGCAAATACTTAAGGTCTTGCACGAAAGATTTTCTGGTTTTGAATTTGTTACTCATATAATTAAAACTAGGAAATGCATTCCTTGTCAAATACAAGGAGTCCAAATTTTCTACCCACAAAGAAGAGAGTTCGCCTAATTCGGATAAAAATGGCTTTTCTTTATCTGGTATTCCACAACCGTAACTTTCCCAATTACGCCTCTTTGAGACTGGTTGTTTAGATGCAATTTCCCATATGTTTTTTTGGAGATTTGGACATGAATGCTCTTCATCTGCCTCTAAAGTTTCAGATTCTGTTTTAGATTCTATTGGCTGAATTTCTAAAAGCTCCTGGCTCATTTTGGAGAAAATTGGGGATTCAAATTCTTCTATTAAATAATGCGGCATCTTAAACATCTCATCAAACCTAGACATTACAGTGTTCTCTTCGATTTCAGGCAGCGAGTATAGATCTAATACATTTCGTTTTTGTTTTGTTGGGATGTCTTTCAGACACAACAAGAATGTTAATATATTATTAAAACTGTCAGTATCTTCTTTGTAAGATTGCTTTAATTGTTCTGTATGCTTTTGCAAGTCTTTAGCGGTTTCACCAAAGTCGTGTTCATGGGTCAACTGGTAGCACCAGGCTTCCATTTTGTGTACAGGATTGTCAGTACCTTCTAGATCTTTGAATTCTAGAATCAAATGAGTAATAGGGATTTAAATGTAATGAAAATTGGATAAAACTTACTTCTGGGGTCTTCGAAGAGGCGTTTTTTCAATAACAGTTCATAGCAATGCGAGCGGTTCGTTTTTATTTTGTCTCGGGAAATGGAAAACTGTTCGCACAAGCTTGTGATTAGATTGTACACAGATTCGTTATTTGTCTCCATCATAATAATCCTAGTTATTTTCAATTTAATTTGAATTTAAAACTGTTTATTATTTTATTTACATAAACAAAAATCAAAACTATGAAGGATATTCATGCAACATTGCAACTTGCAACGTTGCCAGATTTATAAAAAAAATTGAATTTTATTTGACAGTTGACAGAGCCTCACTTTGGGCATTTTCCAAAATTCACCGGTTTCTGAATCAGTGCGATACCGGTTTAATAGTTTACGTAGTTTACTCAAACCGTTCCAAAATGTGCCGACTTTTTCACGGTTGAACCAGATCGCTAGTTTGAAATTGACCGGAATGATCAGCTGTTTGAAACCGGTGAGGCACCGGAGCCACCGGGAATTTTTTTCAGTTGGAGTTTTTTTGACACCCTTGTTCTACTGTTCTTTGAGCAGAGCGTGCAGAGTGGAGCCGTGATCGCGTAACCAGCGAGCACAGAGAGCAGTTAAACGCTGTATGAGAGGCAATATGAGAGGGTTCGATATTTCAATAAACAAACGTGAATGACTGCACCGAGTAAACTTTTTAAATAAACGAAAAACGAATGGTAAATTTATGCTCGGAGAGCTCAGAGCAAAATACCGAATGCACGGTTGATAGCGTATTTCATTGGTAGAGCAAGTGCAACACAAGTGCAATATTCGCGATCCATTGGCAGAGTTTGCGCTGCACTTTTGTATTTCATTGGAAAACCAATGCACTGAGTGCTATTAGCTGTATTCCTTTCAAGAGCTTGAAACACTCGAGCTACTCGCTTCGGTGCTTAGTCGCCCCCGATTTGCAGGGAACAGATGCGTGGTGCAACAAACCCTATTCGAAAGGAATAAGTGCGTGAAGCCCCGGAGCTGTTCCGGAGCTCTTCCTAGGTGTGAAATAAATACAACTATTGGTGCGCCAACTAGTTGTATCCTCTCAAGAGTTTAAAACACTAGAGCTACTCGCTCCGGTGTTAGGCGACCCCGATTTGAATGGAACAGATGCGCTGGCTTTCAAACACTTTTCGAAAGGAATAAAGCCTAGTTCTCATGGAGCGGAAAATCGCGTTGTGGGTGCGGAATACCGCTTTTCCTCCTAGGTCTGAAAGGAAACGTAATATGATGTCATATACCGTCCGTTCGGTGTTTTGATCTGAGTTTTCCGAGCTTTAATTTACCGTTCATTTAAAAAGTGTACTCGGTGCATGCTCATTCGCGTTTGTTTATTAAAATTTTTGACACTGTGATACAGCGTTTAACTGCTCTGTTCGCTCGCTGGTTGTAAAGCCGAATGACAATTATTTGAAATAAACCTCAAGTGACCTCGATCAGTTTGTTCAGATCGAAAGAATTTATTGATGGATCCACCGCTGAATAAAAGAAAGCGCTTTTTGCGACATTGACGTTGACCGTTGACGTTTTCAACTTTTAACTTTCTACTTTCTAGGTTATGTTTGATTGTTTGTTCCTAAGAAGTAAGAAGGTTTGTTCTGTTAAAAACAAATACCTAAATTAAATTAATTCATATTTTAATTATCAAAAACTCATCACAGAGTTTAAAAATGACTCTAGAAGCTATTCCCAAAGACCTAAGAGGCCTTAGAGCGTGCCTGGTATGTTCATTGATCAAAGTAAGTAACATTTTTATTGGTACAATTTGTACCCTCAACAACTAAAATTTGTTTTTTTTGTTGTTGAAATTATAGTCTTTTGAACAATTCGAATACGAAGGATGCGATAACTGCGACGAATTTTTGAGAATGAAGAACAACAAAGACAATATCTATGATTGTACGAGCTCCAATTTTGACGGGTAAGTAATAATCAACTTTGGTCTTGGTCTTTCATCAACAGCATGTTAGCCTCGATGTTAGCTTACAAAAAGCCCCTTGAGGGTCGGTTTCTCAATAGCGAGTCGCCTCCAGGTTAGTTTCAACTTCAGGCTCCAGGGTAAACGTGTCCAGTTGCAATGGTGTTATGCTCAAGGCGGAGTTGACTTACTATTGAGAAACCCTCGGAGAAACCAGAAAGCAATGAAAAAAAGCTACCAGCTACCAGTACCCTAAAGCTAACAGATTCATTTTGATATGACTGAAATTAAAGAGATTTTTCTGACCTTTTTAAGTTTTTATTTACCTACCAATTCTATTAACACCAGATCAAATCAGAAAATGCTTTATTGTACAGAGTAAAACTATTGAGAACAAAGTTGAAAATAAAATATTAGTACAGCACCTACAAAATCAGTGGTCATAGACTCATCACATCAAAAACAGCTAAAATTCCTTAATATATAAATACGCTTTAAAATGCAATAAAACTTCAAACTAAAAGAAACAAGCATTACTTCACAATTGAATATTCAACAACTCTACATTTTATTAGCATGCATTTATATTTATGTACATACTCTTAAGAACTTATTTGGTATATCTAGTTTAAGTATTTTCTGGGTAAAGTATGCAAGGGAAAAAATCTAAAAAAACTGATGATGGTTGCTACATGGTAAAGTGTTGCACTTTACCACTCAATTTAGTATGCAGTTATGTATCACTTCTTCTTTCTCAACCCGTAGCTATCCACTCCTGGATGTAGGTCTCTCTCACATGTTTCCATGTCTCTCTGTTCTGTGCTGTACTTAACCAGTGCTTGCCTGCCACCTTCCTAATGTCGTCCACCCATCTTTTCTGCGTGCCTCCTATGCTTCGCTTGTTCTGTCTAGGTCTCCAAACTGTTATTCTATGTGCCCATCTGCCTTTATCTAATCTGGTCAGGTTACCGGCCCACTGCCATTTCATCTTAGCCACCTCTTGTATTATATCGGTAACTCTAGTTTGACTTCTGATATCTTCATTTCTAATTTTGTCGCGAAGTGAGACCCCTAGCATACTTCGTTCCATCACTCTTTGTGTTGTTAGAAGCTTATTTGCAAATGCTTTTGTTAGGCTAATTGTTTCCAATCCGTATGATTGCACGGGTAGTACGCAGGCATTATATACTTTGCGTTTTAGATTTATAGGGATCATGCGGTTTTTAAGAATGTGCCCCAGTTTGCAGAAAGCTGGCCATGTCAATCTTATGCGTCTTTTAATTTCTGCGTGTTGATTTTCCTTTCCCAGTTTAATAATGTGCCCCAGGTATATGTATTCGTTTACGCATTCAATGTTATTATCTTGAATGTATATGTTGATATCCCCAGAGCTCATTATTTTTGTTTTACTGTAATTCATGTTTAACCCAATATTCTTAGATGCTAGGTTTAATTCGTTTAGCATCTCCTGCAGTTCCGTGACGTTGTTACTGACTAGGAATATGTCGTCTGCAAATCTGAGGTGGTTAAGTCTGACACCATCTATATTAATGCCTTTGGTATCCCATTTAAATTTTTTAAAGATGTCTTCTTGAGCCAGCGTGAACAGTTTAAGTGAGATGGTGTCTCCCTGAAACACTCCCCTTTCCAATGGTATTTTGTTGGTCATACTTGTTTCATCTAATCTTATATGTATTGTTGCTTCTTTATAAGAAACTACCCAAGTCTCTACATTTTTGACTGAAATTTGTGACCAAGAAATAACCGTAAACAATGTGATAAAGGTCAGAAAACCTAATAAAAATGGATTTAAGCCATTAAAAGTGATACTTAGCAATCCACAAGACGTTTCCAGGGCTCTTATTAGAAATAGAGGCAAGGCTAAAGACTCTCGTCGGACATACATTGAGACGGATCTGACTCCATTACAACAGAGTGAGCTGAACACTGTAAAGGAACAGTTACCAGAACGAAAGGCCAATAGTGAGGCTGATCTTGTATTAAGATACACCAAAGGCCACCCTACAATCACCTCAAAAAACTAAATTCCTCAACTGGAGAACCCAAACCTATTCAGTGCTACTATCAAAACGTGAGGGGCCTTAATACAAAAACGCATACATTCTTCAACGCCGTTTCTGCCAGCAGTATGGATATAATCGCCATTACAGAATCATGGCTAAAACCAGAAGTGTTTAACTCCGAACTTTTCTCATCAGAGTATGCAGTGTTTCGGACCGATCGCGAGTTTGAATTGATGGGAGTGTCTAGAGGGGGAGGCGTACTGTTAGGTGTGAAGTGTGATCTGAAACCTGAGCAGCTTGACCTTAATTTTTTAAATACCACAGTTCCTACTATTAATGTTGTGGGCTGCAAGCTGAAGGTAAATTTTTCCACATTGTATATTATTTTAGTCTACATTCCACCATATATTGACAATAATGAACTTGAATATTTTTTGGATCATCTCCTAACCTTAAACCTATCGCATAAGAAGAAGTTGCTTATTCTAGGTGACTTTAATATTCCCCAATATGTCTCCAAAAATTTTTCAGACTCTAAATATGCTCTAATTTCAAATTTTTCCGACACACTCAATTTGGCTCAAGCTAATAATATAAACAACTGTAACAACCGTTTGTTGGATCTTGTTTTTTCTAATATTGATTGCGACGTTGATCATTACGGTGATGCACCTTTCGTCAATGAAGACCCCTACCATCCATCTTTGTTAATCAATTTTAAGGCTACAATAATTGATCCTCATGTTAGGAGCTTTGATCTTAATAAAAATTCTCCAAAGGAGTATAACTTTAGGAAAGCGAACTTTCCTCTGATGTACAACTTGTTTTTGGACGCCAACTGGTCGCCCGTTCTTGACTCTTCAAGTGTAGATGATTCCTGTAGAGCCCTTTATCAAATTTTAGATAATATTTTCAAACTGTGTATGCCCGTAAAGATCAAACGTCGTCGACGCTTTCCTTCTTGGTTCTCAAGTGAAATAATAAGAAACATATTTAAAAAAGAGAAGGCTTATCGAGATTACAAGTTGCATAAAACCAATTTCTATTTGACAAAATTTAATACTATTAGGCGACTAATTAAAACACAAACCAATACTGCCTATATAAGTAATGCTGAACTCAATATCCGCTCCGATCCATCTGCATTTTGGTCATTTATTAGCAGCAAAAAAGCCCAAACAAGAATCCCTGGCATCTTAAAGGACGACAGCGGCAAGTACGACAAACCTCAGGCCTTTGTCAACCCTTTGGCTGACTATTTTCGCAGTGTTTACATCGATTCGGCACCAATCAATGATTTTAGAACTGCAGTACTCAGTTGCAGCAATATCGATATTCCACGTATAACTGCTGAGGACGTTCTAAAAGCCAGCAAAAAGCTTAAAAATAAATTAACCTCAGCCGTCGACAACATTCCTAGCTTCCTTGTGAAAGACACTGCTTGTGTACTAGTTATTCCATTAACTCATATTTTTAATCTTGTAATCGATAAAGGTCAGTTTCCAGATATATGGAAGACAGCAAAAATAATTCCGGTATTAAAGAAGGGCGATTGTTCTTTATTAAAAAACTACAGACCTATTTCTATTCTTTGTAACTTTTCAAAAATATTGGAGATAATCATCTACAACAGCATATATCCTCAAATCAGAGGTCTCCTTTCGCCTGGTCAACATGGTTTTTCTCGATTCTCGCTAATGTATGACGAATTTGGCCACACTATCACACATCGCCAGCGAAACACTTGACTCTCAAGGCCAGCTTGATGTTAGCTACACAGACTTTCAAAAGGCATTTGACCAAATCGACCACTTTATCTTGCTTTTGAAACTCGAGAACCTTGGAGTGTCACAGAGATTGTTAGCATTATTTACATCTTACCTGATTGGATGCACCCAGTATGTGGAGTACGAGCACTTCAGATCGTCATCATTTATCGTTGGTTCGGGCGTACCACAGGGTTCTAACTTAGGACCCCTGCTATTTTTGTGTTTTATTAATGATTTAATTAATGTTATTAAGTGCGACAAACTTGTGTATGCTGATGATCTGAAGTTGCTCAATAGGGTAGACCAACCCGTGGACTGCGAATATTTGCAGGAAAATCTGACCCTGGTCCACGATTGGTGCATGGAGAATAGATTAACCCTCGGATTAACCCTTAATGTGTCTAAGTGTAATGTTATAACTTTTTCTCGTAAAATTAATCCCATTGTATATGCCTATACATTGGACGGTGCTGCGCTGAGCAGATCAGAGAACATCAAGGGCCTTGGAATCTTATTTGATTCGAAACTTACTTTTATACCCCATGTCAATGAATTAGTTTCAGCATGTTCTAGAATTCTTGGCTTTGTAATAAGAAACAGTAAATATTTCAGAGACCTTACTACTATAAAACTACTTTATCATACTTTTGTCCGATCTAAGCTAGACTACGGTGCATTAATTTGGAACCCCATATATAATTGCCATATATCTGCAATTGAATCAGTTCAAAGACGGTTTCTGAAGTATTTAGCTTTTAGATGCGACGGAGTCTACCCTATCAGAGGCTGCGATCATGGCTTACTCTCACAAAGGTTTGATGAAACATCCTTAGCTACCAGAAGAAAGGTTCAATCTGCTAAATTTTTGTACAACTTAGTTCATAATCACATTGATTGCCCGTCTCTTTTGGAATGTCTGCAATTTCGAGTTCCTAGGTCTGGCTCAAGACATACCACAGCTTTCTACCTCAGCGCAGCAAGATCTAATGTTATGAGACAGAGTCCTATCTACTTTATGAGCAATAGAGCAATGTATTTAATTCTGTTTCACATTTGAACGACTTAAACGCAGACTCAATCAGTCATATAATAAATTCGATAGTTTTTATTAATAACTTCGATAGTTTTTATTAATAACTGATATTCTTTGAAATCTTTAAAATTCTCTCGTTTTTGCTTAGACTAGTGAGTATGAGCCTACTTTAGCTTAGTTTAGGTTTAATTTTGTTCTTCTTCTTACACTATTATTTTTAGTGAATTTCCTGTAAGTGGGTTTTACCTGTTGGGAATAAAAGCTTATTTATTTATTATTTATTTATTTATTATAAATGCTGTCGATGATTTGGGTGTATCTCGAGTCTATTCTTGCGTTTTGCAGGGCCATTAAGATTGACCATGATTCAACCGTGTCGAAAGCCTTCTGAAAGTCAACGAAGGCTAGGTGTATAGGTACGTTATACTCTGTGCATTTTTCTATAAGGGTGCGTACTATATATAGGTGGTCTATCGTACTGTATCCCTTTCTAAATCCCGCCTGTTCAACCGGTTGGTAAGAATCAAATTTTGATGTTAAGCGATTCGTTATAATTTTTGTGAAAATTTTGTATAGATGTGATAGAAGGGATATAGGCCTGTAGTTTTCGACGCTCGTGTTATCGCCTTTTTTGAACAGTAGTATTACTTCAGAGTTGCGCCATTCAGTTGGTATTTTACCGGCATGAAGACATTTATTCAACAGTATTCCTATTGTTTTCTGTAGAGTCCTCCCTCCCCGTTTCAGCATTTCTGAAGTGACTTGGTCTTCACCTGGACATCTGTTGTTTTTCATTTGTTTTAATGTTGTGCTTATTTCGCCTTCCGTGATTTCTGGGAGATCTTCAGATCCGACATTCATGATGTTTCAATCGATTTAATAATGTCGTATTTGTTGTGTACTATAATATTATTTTCATTGCGCATTTTTGTGATTTTTGTTTTACCTATCGAAAGTTGTTTGTTCAACACTTTCATCCTGCAGTTATCCTTTATGGTTTCCTCTATAAGTTTCGCATTGTAGATTCTTTTGCCCTTTCTTATTTCTTTCTTGATCTGCTTATTTAGGTCTATATATTCTTGGGTTGTTCTGTCCTCTGCGTTCCTTCTTCTTTCTAGTAGTCTAGTGTGTCTTGACTTAGCTTTGCGTCTTTCTGATTTTTTGTCCTTGTACATATTTTCTTCATCGAAGTTTTCACAACGCTTGTGATTTTATCTGTGAGTTCATCTATTTCCAGTTGCTCCAGATTTATTTTTGTTAGTTTTTGATGTGGAAGTCGTTTTGATATTCTGCTTTTTTTTTAGTTGTAGAACTTCGCTAGTAGGATAGCGCTGTTTCTTAAGGAGTATCACATTACTGTCCAAAAATGCGATAAAGTAAGTTTAAGGTTTCTAAGTACTTATAAATAATGAATACAGACTGAGATCGCAAAGCCAAACTTAAGATATCACCTTGAACAGGCTACGAAGAGACAAGTTCTATCTTGGAGTAAAACAATCAGTAGCAAGGTCATCATCAGAGAGTGTTATGAACGTGAGACACGTAAAAAAAGTCATTATATTTGCTCAGCAGTCATCAGAAGCCGATAGTTCCAGAACCAGACACTAGGTGGACAGTGAATCAGTCAATGAAATAATAAATTATATTTGGCCAAATGTAAATACGTCCAAAATTTTCAAGGTTCTTAGATCTAGTAAAATACTGTCATCAGCAAACGCCGTAAGGCCAAGAACCATAAACCAAAAAAAGAACAACCTTGTTCTTAGTGGCAACAATATCTCCTTCGAAATTCTTCTTCGTATACCTGAATTAAGACAACATACGCTTAAACATCTCACTATTACATCTGATAAAACTCCCAAACAACAGATAGAATATAAAACCATTAGGCAACAACTGCTTGAAAGTGGGGGTCAAAACCACTAGACCTAATAGGACTGCTTATTGAGCTGAAAGTGTCTGCTATTTCAGCTGCAGACCTGAACTCTTGGCGTAAAATGCTTTAGCCAAGTTTAAAACAGTATAGGTCAAAAAGCGAATTCCTAAACGTTATAATTTTAAATCACCTTTTCTACATTTAAAATCAACGAAAAAAAAAACACAATCTGAAACGCAAGCACCCCATCGAGGCCTGCGAGTGACGTCACCACTATAAGCTGCTAATAGTGGTGACGTCACTCGCAGGCCCTGCCGACTCGAGAATTGGCGAGCGTACGCCTTATGAGGATGAGCAATTTTGTTAGTTTTTAGTTGGGCAGGGGAAACAATTATCAAGATAAAGTTCGTGAAAAGTGTACCTACAGTTGTTAAAGTTGACCATTCTTGCCACATCTTTTAAAGCTCTTAAAAAGAGACGCTCTCTGTGGGACTGCTACACTAGAAACAGGAGCACGTTTCACTATGAGAGATATAGGACTCAAAATAACTGAGCTAATTACCGAAGCTAGAAAAAAATATGATGGTGAAATAGGCACAGCCAGTGGAAAAAAAAATCTTTTCATATGTATCAATATCACTATACTCAAGAATCAACCACGTCTCACTGAAGAACCAAGCGGGAGACATCCCGACGGCAATACGCTGAAACTCGCCGATAATTCACGCACAGTAAACTCTATAACCATCATCGACTTTCCTCCCCCCCCCTAAAGGTCCAGAACGCTATTCATAGCCTTGAAAACAACTCTGCCGCTGTCGCCGACGGTATTCCACCAGTGTACCTGAAAAATTGCGCCGATGTCTTGTGTGGGCCGCTGTCAGCAGCACTGACCAAGGCCCTGGCCGCAGGTCATGTTCCCAATGCTCGGACCCACGCAGTTGCAACTCCCATCTATAAAAAGGGTGACCGCTGCCAATCTGGAATCTGGAAACTACAGACCCATTAGCGTTACATCTACATTTTCCAAATGCATGGAGAAAATAATTGTCAGGGAGCTAACCATTGAGAGCTAACTGATTTTGTCCTAGAGAATGGCATAATACCAACACGGCTTCTTACCGAAAAGATCCATAGATACAAACCTTCTTTCATGTCTCAACGACTGGACTACTCTGCAGGACAGTGGTCAACCAGTGGATGTAGTATACCTTGAATATGAAAAGGCCTTTGACAGAGTCCCTTTTTACAGACTGCTCTACAAGCTTGATCACTATGGCGTTAGGGGCCCACTTCGGTCCTGGATTGGTGGCTTTTTTACCAAGTGCAGGCTTCAAGTTAGGATGGATGGCGCCTTGTCAGGCGAAAGATCTGTGAGAAGTGCAGTGCCTCGGGGCTCGGTTCTCTGACCGTTGCTGTTCTTGGTTTATATCAGCGGTATGGTGACCGACATCGATAACAGAATCTGCTTCTTCGCAGATGACACCAAATTGTACTGTAATCCACTATGTGATGCCATCTCACTGCAGAGCGATCTGAGGACTGTGGACTGGAAATTGACTAATGTCGCTGAATGTCGAAAAGTGCACACCAAACAACCCAAATACTCAACACACTCTCTTTGGAAATGCCCTCGAAGAGGTCGACCACCAAAAGGACCTCGGAGTAGTTGTGAACCGATGCTCCAGGTTAAAGATACCCACTCTATGAGAACGCCGGCAAAGAGGACTTAGTACAGACCCACACAATCATGTCTGGATACTATAACGTCCAACTGGATATCTTCGTAACCAGAGGCGAAACGATGCTTGGAGGACACTCCAAAAAACTCTCAAAAGAAAGATGTGCAAAGCTTGCTAGACAGAACTTATATAGTATATAGTATATGTATGGATCGCACTCAGCCAAGATACTGTGGATGCCCCATCCTTGAACACTCTCAAAAACAGACTGGATAGAGCTTACACATGTGAATCGCGAATTTGTACATTATTAAATTTGATTATTATGATTATAAAAAGACTAATAATAATAATGAACATACTTCTAAAAAAACATAAAACTTCCCTCAATGTTCTTTTGTGGAAATTTGATTTTTTCCAATATGATCTCAACACATTTTGCTCCACAACTTCGTTAATTTACGTTATTAGGCTCAAATTAAGACCAATTTATCATCTAGAAATATCTAGCGAATAGTTTTAATGTAGCATCAATAGTTCCGCAGCTGCCAAGCCTGAAATTCTTTTGACTTTGATTTTTCCCCGAACTTCAATCTTTTTCTTGCCCACTTTTAAATCAAATTCTTCCAACTTTTCTCCTCGAAGAAAAATAGATCTTGCCTAAATATCATTGTTTGGAAATTTCATTTTTTTGATGAGTACCGCTACTGGTAAAAAACAAAATAATCATATTGTTTAGTTGAAACAAGCCCAATGTCAAGGAAAAAAAAAGCCCATGTGTGTGGGACAACTTCTTACCTCATAAACGATGGTTTTTGAAAGTTCTTATTTCTGATTTCAAAATTTTTGATTCATAATCAATAATAACCTTCTCTTTGAGTTGAACTGGAATTTTGATCATTCTTCCCTGCCACTTTTCTAACACTATTTTTTTTTCCAGAATGATTTCAATGATGAGCCCTGAAGATAGTTGGGTAGCCAAATGGCAAAGAATTAGTAAGTTTATTTATTCCTTGCCAAACCCAATTCACAATAATTTAATTTTCAGATCGATTCTGTAAAGGTGTGTACGCTATTTCCGTGTCGGGCAGACTACCCAATGGAATAATCAGGGAAATGAAGAGTCGCGGAATAGCTTATAGACCTAGAGATACCAGTCAAAGGTAGAATGTTTAAGTTCTATGTAATTTTTTTTTTTTATAACAATATAGTGCATATTATTTAATTTATTGACCTGAAAGTAATTTAGTAAGGCTTTTGGATTCGAATGTCATAAATCATGTAATTTGAGTAATAATTTTTATTTGTATTTTTAAAGCACAACAAATTATTATACATTTAGAAAATATAAAATATTCATAAAACCAGAAGAGATGCAACAGTTTTATTTGCTTATTGTGAATAAATGGTTTTCTGTTATTGTGCAGTTACGGTGATAAAAAAAAAGTAACTATAATTTGTCTTTGAATTAATTAATGAATATAATCTAAATTATTTATTTACAGTTACAAAGTTTATGCTTTAAAGCTCTACACCAAAAATATTTTTGTTTTAGTTTTTGATATCTTAAAAAATAAATATCAAAAGGCAACATTATTATATAAATTGTATACGTAATAGCAAATAAATTTTAACACAGTTTCTTAAAATATTATTCTTCACTAAGAATATCGCATAGGCACAAAACTGACATCAATATTGGACAGAATAACATTATTTCATAAATACTTAATATAGGAAATACATGACTGCATTTACCTGAAAAAGAAAAATTTTAAAATTATAATTTCCTAAGATAAACTAAAGATTCTTACTCTTTTGGTAGTAGACTTTTTCCAAAAATGTTCGAAGCGGTACTCGAAATGTCATCGAGACCAGCGTGGGCCCTTTTGTTGGCCTCATCGAAAGCATCAGAGACTGAATCGTCAATATTTCTTCCGGTTTCTCTCAGTTTGTTATCGACATTTTGTGCTGACTGTTTCAGGTTATTTTCCATTGAAATTTCAGCATCGTGAAGACCCGCGTTGACTTGTTGCGCCCTTTGGGTCATTGCGTTACCAAAAGATTGGAGTCCTATTTCAAAATGTGAATATTAGTATTTTGATATTGTTTTGTAATGTTGAGGTATTTTTCCAGAATCAAACTGGACCAATTTTGTTGAGTTTATTATATAAAACAATATATTATTCCATTTCATGTCATTTCACTTATTAACAATACATTTTCATTCATAATATATAATGCCTTATGACTAGCAACATTTAATAGATTTACAATAGATATGCAAATTAAAGAAAAAGAATTGGTGTTATTCTAGAAGTGGATCCAAAAACACATAGCATTCTGATGAAGAAACGAACAGCCAAAATTGGATGGTCTGAATGGTGTGATAAATTATGTTTACAAAATACAAACTGTTATGGACAAATTTTCAAGACCAGAACGATTCGAAATTGACCCGACTTCCTCATCGGCCGAAAAAGAATGGAAACACTGGCTGTAGACATTCAAAAATTTCCTGGATGGATCTGATAAATGCAAAGAGAAAAAACTTACTGACAGTGACAAGCTCAGATTCTTAGTTAACTTTATATCACACAATGTTTTTGAGTATATTAGTGATTGCGATAATTTCGATAAAGCTATCACAATTCTTGAAGGAATTTATGTTAAGCAAGTTATTGAAGTTTTTGCCAGACACATTCTGAATACTAGAAAGCATCAATCGATCAGTACAGTACGTTCAATCCTTAAAACTGCTCGCCAAAAGTTGTAATTACGGAGCAGTGAGTGCAGAACAATACAGAGATTATTGTATTAAAGAGACGCGTTCATTGATGGTTTACTTCAAAATGAAATTCGTCAAAGACTTCTCGAAAACTCAACTTTAACATTAGAAGAAGCTATAAACAAATCGCGTACTTTCGCAAGAGGCCAAGAAGCAAACACAACAATATCTTTCACCAAATTCTTCGTTTTATTGTCCCGAAATAAGAAGTGAATTACCATCATCTGCCGCTACTACATTTGTAGTGAACTGCTAGTTTTGCGGAAATCCCAGACATCATAGAAATGAATGGCCTGCTCGAAACGCAACGTGCCAAAACTGTTAAAAATTAGGGCATTTTGCAAAAGTTTGTTTAAAGTTTAAACCTACTTAAGCCTCCACCCCGGTCTCCAGTTATGTGATGGCTTCTGCTTCAACAGTTCATCCGCGCTTATCAAAAGCAAGTCTTGAAGCAAAAATAAACGGGTAGCGCTCATGCTCTAATAGCTACTGGAAGTTTTGACAGTTTCCTGGATTATAATTTTGCCGTTCGTCATGATATCAAAATCAATCCTACCAAGGTCAAGTTTTAATGGCCACTTTAACTTGTTTTTCTCTTATTAAAGGTTACTGCTTAGTCGACATCGATTTGTTGAGTCAACATACAGGAATTACAAAATATATGTACTTTCTAATCTGTGTGCCGATATTGTAATTGGTCATGATATCATGAAACAACACTGACGTGTAGAAATTCAGTTTGGTCAAACCTCCCTTATCAATTTGCTATTTGATGAAAGCAAAAGTTGAACCGCCATCCTTATTTTCAAACCACACTACAAATTGTAGACCTATCATCACCAAATCATGCAGACACTTAGCTGAGGATGAAAAATTTATAAAGCAGGAAATCAAGAATCTTTTGGAAGAAAATATTATTGAAGAAAGCAATTCTCCATGGCGAGCTCAAGTTTTAGTCACTCGCAATGAAAATCGCAAACGAAGTATGTGTATAGATTATTCACAGACCATCAACAAATTTACTCTACTAGACGCCTCAGCTTCCAAAAATTGAAACATTAGTCAATAAGATTTCGAAATATGAAGTGTTTAGCACAATTGATTTGAAAAGTATCCATGATCAGAGATACCCATCAAAGAACAGGATAAACCATACACTGCATTCGAAGCTGCTGGTAAGTTGTATCAGTTCCGAAGAATACCTTTTGGTGTAACAAATAAAGTTGCTTGCTTTCAAAGGGTAATTGACTTAAAAATTTTAGAAAAAAAATTGACAGGCGTTTATGCTTATTTGGATGATGAAACTGTGTGTGGCGAAAATCAAGGGAAACATGATCAAAATTTGATGAAATTTGTAGTGGTCTTACACTGAATCGAAATAAATGTTCATATATGCTCAAAAATCAATCAATATAGAAAACAGATCTATGAAACCCAATCCGGACAGACTTCCGCCACTTCTGAACTTACACAAGAGCACAAGTGAACTTCAGAGAGGGCGCTTTCTTTTATTCAGCGGTGGATCCATCAATAACCAACCTATCTTTGTCTGGTTCATAGAAAATCGGAATAGCTGTCTCATAGTGCTGGCAGCAGATGGATCCATTGCTGAATAAAATAAAGCGCTTAGAGTATTAGGAATGTTTCGCATTATTCTAAATGGATACAGAATTTTTCAAACAAAATCAGAAGTCTTGTCAGCTGTTAATATTTTCCTTTACAAAAAAAAAACTGGATTTTGAAACGATAAAGACAGACATTGAAACTCACTCCTTTGGTCAATAAATGAACATAAAACTATAGTTGTGGAAAGAAATTCTGTATAGCCGCGATTCTGAGCCAATCAGGCAAACCTGTAGCTTTTTTCTCAAGGACCTTATCTGAATCAGAAAGAAAGCATTCATCTGTAGAAAAAGAAGCGTATGCATTTAAGAAAATGGAAACACTATCTAATGGGACGACATTTCAAACTTGTGACAGATCAGCAAGCAGTTTCGTTTATGTTTCATACTAAAATTCTAGTAAAATTAAAAATGAAAAAATCATGAGATGGAAACTTGAACTAGCTTGCTACAGCTATGATATCATTTATTGCCCTGGAAATAAAATTCTTCTGCATTCTCGAGAATTTCAGCAAGTTGTACAATAGACAAAATGTTTCAACTATATACATCAAGATTTGTGTCATCCAGGCATTACTAGGATGTATCATTTTGTTCGAGTGAAAAACCTACCCTATTCTCTAGATGAAATTAGAAAAATGACTAAAGTGTGTCCAGTGTGCAACAAAATCAAACTAAAATTCCTCAAAAATTTCAATAGCCACCTGATTAAAACTACAAAACCATTAGAATACCTAAATATTGATTTCAAAGGACCACTACTGTCAAAAGGCATAAAAACATGCTTACAATTGTAGACGAATACAGCAGATTTCCTTCTGTTTTTTCTTGTTCGGATGTCACAAGTGCAACTGTCATAACATGCTTTGACCAGTTTGTTGCAATATTTGGAATGCCTGCCTACATTCATTCAGATAATGGACCGTCTTTAGTATCTGAAGAACTCAGTGAATATTTGCAATCCCAAGGAATAGCCCACAGTCGTAATACACCATATAACCCACCAGAAGGAAATGGCCAAGTAGAAAGATAAAACGGTAGAATTTGGAACGCAGTATTATTAGCTCTTGAAACAAGAAACTACTCAATTGAACAGTAGGAAACTGTCCTCCCATGCATTACATTCGATTCGCTCGCTTCTGTGTACCAGCACTAACTGCACATCTCATGAAAAATTATTCGCATACCAGAGAAGATCTACAAGTGGCACATCTATTCCATCTTGGATGTCAACACCACAGAAAGTTCTTGTAAAAAAACAAAATAGGAAAAGCAAATATGAGCTTTTAGGTGAAGAAGCAGATCTTATAGATGCTAATCCTGAATATGGCTGGATACGCTATGATGATGGAAAAGAAGCTACCATTTCAGTGAAACATTTGGCACCAAGGGGAGACGCCACTCTTCTGAATGGTTCAAACAGCTCAACCTCTTCTAAAATTATTCAAGATGATGAACTAAATGAACCTAATGCAGCGGATAACTTTTCTGATTCTGAAGCAGATGGAGCTAGAACAGAAATATTTCAAAGACCCAAAAGAAATCGAAAATCGCCGAAGTATCTTGAAGATTACCAGAAAAACTAACCAAGCGAATGTGATAAATTATGTTTGCCCCCTTTCATGTATTGAATTGTCAATCTGACTTTAAGTCATTATGCCAAAGAAATTTTTTTTCGCAGTCTACTTACACTTAGAATAATGAAAAACCTACACCCTAGTGAAATGGGTAGTCAAAAAAATGCAATACAATCATTTTGAAAAACAAAATTTCGAAATCTAAATTAAGCGTTCGCCACTTAACTGAAATTATATTCTGATTTATCCCATTTATTTCAAAATGTGTACCCGCCCTCTACTAAGACAGAGCAATCGTTCTTTTGAGAGAATGCTGTTCCCCGGTTACGAGAATACGGGCCCAGACGTCTTCTATAGATCATATCAGATATTAGGAAAGACCAGAATTTGCATTTCAATTAGTAGACACAAGATTTTTAGTACCATTAAAACCTACGCTATGTGATTGGATAATATCAATCAAGCTATGCTTAAACTATGCTTCCCATATTGCAAGAGGGAACTATGTGAACCTTCGGCCTATAGGCATCCTACCAACAACATCAAAATTTATTTAAAAAGTTGTGCACAATCAAATAATGCAGTATATCGAAGACCACAACATCCTTCAATCAGGTTTTCGAAGATTACATGGCACTGGAACTGCACTAATCAAGATAAATGATGATATTATAACAGTCCAGGATCAAGAAATGGCCACCATAATGGTATTGTTGGACATGTCAAAGACCTTCGACAGCAATAGACCATGACTTACTAGTAGCCAAACTAACACCATGTGTTAGGGGAATGGTTTAAACAATACTTATCACAGACGCACCAACATGTCAAATAATTGAAGGGCATCTCTAAAATGTACCTTTCATGCTCACAAACAGTGGAAAGGGGTGTAACTCAAGGATCAATTTTGGGACCACTCCTATTCAATTTATTCCTGGTAGACCTTCAAAGTAGCATTAAATTCAGCAGTTCCCACTACTATGCCGACGATATACAAATCATAAGTTTCTACCCATAGAATAGCCATATTGCAGTAAGGAGGATAAACTATGACCTACAAGCAATATTTGAATGGACACAGGGGAATGGTCTAAAGATCAATGCGACAAAAAGAGAACCAATGGTCTTTGGTAAAAAAGCTCAAGACCTCACAGTGGCCCTGCAGGATCAAATAATAATGAATTCCGAATCCATCAGATTAAATAACACCTGTGTCAAAAACCTCGGTCTGCGAATGGACCAGAAGTTGGACTATGCACATCAGGTCAGTTACATCAATAAGTTGGCATTAGGCACACTGAAGTGCCTGTATAGAATTAAAGACTTTCTGCTATGGGAGGCAAAACTGAAACTATGTGATACCTTAGTGCTCCATGTGCTTAGTGAAAGCTCCATCACTGAAGCAGGGAAACCGCAAACATCCCACCACTATGGGGACAAATGCAACAAAGCAATAGTACATATAGTACTTACCACTCAGTGCAAAGGAAGAACAGTATTTTTTTTCCTTCAAAAAACACATGACACAAAATACACACAAAGTTGGAAAGAAGAAGGATGGAAGGACGCATCGCTGTCTACTGAAAAGACACCGATAAAGGAAGCAAGTGGCACACAATTTTTCACCAAAATATAAGGGGCATCAAAACAGCTCTAGAAAATCTAGAAGCTTTCTTTGAGACCTCAAGTAATAAACCAGCGATAGTATGCATATCCAAGCAGCCAGGGGAAGAAAGTATCTGCAACATCGAAGGATATAACTGGGTAGCAATATTTTCTAAGAGATACAAGAAGAAAGGTGGTGTATCAATATATACTCGAGAAGATGTAGATGACTTCGAAGAACTAGATACTTTTAATGACTACAATCTGGAGGGACACTTTGAAATATGTAGAGCTATCAGTAAGACTAAGAAAATGGTAATTTTTTGCATTTATAGGTCTGGGGGTCTTCAACATTTTCTATGATTTATTTGGGGTTTTAGTTGGAAAAGTGCATGAAAAATACAAAGGGTATGTGGTAGTATGGGGAGGGGATTTTAATGTAAATGTTTTAAGGGAAACTGAAACTTTGAAAAAAGCTGAATGTCATAAAAGGGACAAAATCCTAGATCTCTTAGCCTCATATAAGTATGAACAGACAATATTTGAGGTAACTAGACCAAATAAAAACAAACGATTCTGTATTAACAATATATTCATAAGAATTTATGAATATAATCAAGTAGTAGTAATGGGATTAAGTGATCATCATGCGCAACAGCTGACAGTACTAACCCAAAACATAAAACAACATTATTTTTCTGGAAGAATATCCTCTAAAAACAAAATGATCCAGTTTAAGCAGGAAATTAGGGGGTGTGCATGGAGTGGGGTTTATGAGGCGACAAGCGCAGAGACGCCATACACAGCTTTTGGTGGTATACACGGCCAATACTTAAACCTGTTATTTCCTATAAGAAAAATCAAACAGAAGGTTCTGAAAGGAGACAGCTGGATGACACAGAAAATAAAAACGTCTACCAAAAAATAAAATAAAACTTTATGAATAATATCTAAAGGGAAGAAAATCAAAGCAATTTTACAATAAAGAATAAATACTCAAACGTCCTGAAAAAAGTAATACAAGAAGCAAAGAAACTAAATAATAAGAAGTTCATAGAAGGAGCGGAAAATAAAACTAAAGCAACATGGAAAGTAGTTAACAAAATAACGAAAACACACGAAAAACAATATACACTTTTTGACAACACTGACAGTCAGACAAAGTGCAGTTCTTAAAACACAGTGGGCCTATTCGGGTTTGGAAAAAGTACGGTTCTAGAACGGTCCAAAAGAATCACACAGTTTATTATTGAACTTTGTGATAGTCGAGTCGTTGTTATTTTGTTGATCAATAAACTGTACGATTGTTTTGAACCGTTCTAAAACCGTCCTTTTTCCAAACCCGAATAGGCCTAGGTGAACAATTTCTTTTTGAACATCTGCCCTAATATAAATCAAGAAAGCAAAAAAAAGCACAATAGAAAAAATGATACCTGTCAAAAATTCAGTATCTTTTGAGTCTGTGACTGAAACAGAAATAAAAACAATTACTAGAAATCTTAAGATTAAAAATTCTGTAGGAATTCCATTTAAAATTCTGAAAGAAGCAGTAGACTATCTAGCACCACCACTAGTACATGTCATTAATTTTTGTCTAAAGGATGGTCATTTTCCCTCAGAATTAAAATATGCTGATATCAAATTAATATTTAAAAAGGGAGATAAAAGGGATCTCCAAAATTATGTCAAACTTTAGCAAAATATTTGAAAAAGTTATTCATTCATTCAAGGCTTACCAGTTTCTTAGAGGGTCCTGTCAGGCAAACAAAATGGATTTAGAAGGGGAATCCATCTTAATAAAATCCTTGAATCTTTAAACAAGAAACAAACCACTGTGGCTGTTTGTCTGGAGCTCGCAAAAGTGTTTGACAGCGTAGATCATAGTAGGTTGATAAAAAAAAAACTACTTGGGGTGAGGGAAACTGAACTTAAACTTTTTGTGTCGTACTTGACAGACAAGCAACAATGTGTCGAGGAACTGGATGACACTGGAATGAACATAAGATCTAATTACTCCAAAATATCAAAGGGAGTTCCGCAGGGTTCGGTTCTGGGTCCTGGGACCTTTACTTTTTATCCTGGACACAAATGAAATTGAAAACATAATAAAAAGTGAGGTCGTTACGTTTGCTGACGATACAATCATTATTTGTAACAACAAAACAGAAGAACAAGTAAAAAAAGAAGGGGCAAAAAGTATCTCCACACTTGAAGAGTGGTATATTGCTCCTTAATGTCAAAAAGACCCAACTATTACATTTCAAACCAACGCAAGAAAATTTGTGTGTACGTAGAATATGGAGAGGAGGACCTAGGATTGGGTGGAGTATCTGGGTATGGTGCTGGATGGAAAGCTAAACTAAAACTGAACAGAGCACATTGTCATTGTAGAACTGTCTAGATCATTGAGCAGATTATGTGTAGGTATGCTCTTAGAATGCTGAAAGATAATTGGCTCGGTTGTGTCGCTCTCATCTTACCATGCTTTTGTGCAGTCCAGAATACGGTATGGGATTGTTTTATGGGGAAACTCAAGTGATGCAAAGATTTTAAAACTACAAAAAAGATGCTTAAGAGTCATACTTAAACTAAAAAACAGGGACAGTTGCAGGGAACACTTTATAAATAATAATGTACACACTATCTATAATCTATACATCTTGGAAGACATATCATTTATTCCTAAAAATCAAGATCTATTTGGGAACTCAAAAATAAATCATAATCATAACTACTCAAAAAATTGAAAAGTCCTGTGTTTGATACCCAGTCATGTTGAAAAAAAAGAACATATAACTCCATATCTGCAGAACATCGGTTGGCTAAACATGCGGCAAAGAAGATGGTTACACTTGTGTTGCCTTATAGCAAAGTACAATTGCGTTCGGAAGCACACTCCTTACAACTTAGACAATCACAACAAACACTTAGTGTACCAATTCACCATAGTGAGTTTTTCAAAAAGGGATTTTCCTACCAGGCCTCAAAAGTGTTTAACCAAATACCAGACAACCTGAAAAATTTAGGTAGTGTAAGCTTCAAAAACAAGATGCGTGAATTGATATTATCCAAAGGCTTGATGTTATTCACTGATATTGTTTCCATTTTTATCTTTGTTGTTATTTTGATTGATTTGTATTTTGTTTGTTGGTCTCTATCCCTATTATTGTTTGTGCCAAGGCAAACCAATTTTATTTTAAAACAATTGTATACATGCCTTTTGTAATATTTATTATTATTATTATATGAAATTAGAGGTTGAATCCTTGAAATGATTGAGGACTTGTTGAGAAGTGAAATTTTTTTCATAAACACTTGTTGTAATGTAAATTACCTACCTACTATAATAGCTATTTATACAATAAGTTACGAAATGAGCGTCTTTTAGGCACGCGACGTGAAAATTCTGTCCAACTCGGCTTTGCCTCGTTGGACAACACGTCGAGTGACTAAACGACATCGTTTCGTAACGTATTGTATACAAGATTTTTTCTACTGGCATTTTATAATAAAAAAACACAATTTTATTTCATGTGAATGAGTCGATTACGCCCAAAATCTTTGTTACCTGCTTTTGCTTGACACCTGACACTTTTCATGCGATTTTTTTTTTCAAGATTCGACATCAATAATTAAAATCCTAGAAAGTAGGTAACAACACAAAGTTCTGTTTTGAGTAACCCAAACGTTGAATTCAATAATTACATTTTTAATATTCATAATAAATACAAAACAAAATTCAAATCTGTATTTAGTGTGTTTTTTATTTCCGAATGATGAATGACACTTTTAGGCACTAGTGCTTAAAAATTACTTTTACGCACTCAAAAGTCACTTTTACGCATTCAAAAGTCACTTTTACGCACTGAGTGCTTAAAAGTAACTTTTACGCACTCAGTGCTTAAAAGAATGTCGTTTTAAAACTAAAATGACAATCGAAAAGTTGCTATTATGAAACGTCAGTAGAAAAAAAAATAATTACCTTGGTTGACATTCTGTGCAACATTTTGCGCTCCCTGAGCCCTTCTTTGCCTTTCAGCTTCAGCTACGACGGCAACATCGTGCAACTTATTATCCATGCTTCTAGCCAAGTGTTGGGCACCTTCGGCAGCTTCTTTAGCTTTCTGTTCGGCGGCATGTTTGGTATCTTGTAGTCTAGCATCGATGCCCTGAGCTAAGTTTTGCGCTCCGGCGGCCAATCGTCGTTTTTCAGCTTCGACAGCCTCAGCTGCTTCTTTTGCTTTGGCGGCAGCTGCTTCTTGGGTTTCTTTGACTTTGTTATCGACGTTTCTAGCTAAATTCTGGGCAGCTTCTTTTGCTTTGTTGTCGATGCTTTGGGCTACATTTTGGGCTCCCTGTGCTAAACGTTGTTGGCCATCCTGGGCTGCTTTTTGTGCAGCTTCGGCGGCTTCTTTGGCTTTGTTTGCTGCGGCTTGTTCAGCTTCCTTGACGTTTTTAGCTAAATTTTGGGCGGCTTGACCAGCAGCATCTTGGGTTTCTTTTATTTTATTATCAACGTTTCTGGCTAAATTATGTGCTCCTTCTTTTGCTTCTTGGGCTTTATTGGCGGCAGCTTGCTCAGCTTCTTTTAGCTTATTATCTGCGGCTTTGGCTAAATTATTGGCAGCTTCAGCTGCTTCTTTGGCTTTATTAGCAGCTGCTTGCTCAGCTTCTTTTAACTTGTTATCTGCGGCTTTTGCTAAGTTGTTGGCAGCTTCAGCTGCTTCTCTGGCTTTATTAGCAGCAGCTTGCTCAGCCTCTTTTATCTTGTTACTGGCAGCTTCAGCTGCCTCTCTGGCTTTCTTAGCGGCCGCTTCTTTTGCTTCTTGAGCTGCTTGAGCTAATCGTTGTTTCTCAGCGTTTAAAGCATCGGCTGCTTGTTTTGCTTTTTGAGCTGCAGCAGCTTCAGCTTCTTTGAGTTGATTTGCGACTTCTTGAGCTTTCTTAGCAGCAGCCTCTTCAGTTTCTTTGACTCTCCTTGCGACTTCTTGAGCTTGTTTAGCAGCAGCCTCTTCAGTTTCTCTCACCCTGTTATCGATGTTCTTTGCCAGACTTTGGGCTCCGTTGACAATCTTTTGCCTTTCGGATTCGGCAGCGTGAGCTAGGTCGTTTTTTTTAGTTTCAGCTGCACTAGTAGCGTCCTGGAGTTTTGTGTCAATAGTACGGCCTAGATTTTGGAGTGAATCTTGCAAAGTGTGTTCAGCTGCCTGGGCTTTCTGTTGCAGCTGAGTGTCTAATTCTTTGCCCGCGTTTTGTAGGTCTTCGGCTATGTTGGATTTTGCTCTTGTGACTGCTTGGGCTGAAAAAAATTTAATTGATTTGACATTAATCTAAACAAAGGAGCTTGAGAAACTTACCAGCTTCCTGGGCAATCTTCTGCGCATCACTCTTGGTCCTTTCTAAAGCCTCATTGGTTTTTTTGCCACGTTCTTCAACGACATCTTCAACTCTTTGTTCGGTTTCTTCAACTTCTTCTACGACGTCGTTCTTCTTTTTTGTGAATAACTGCCCTATGCGACTTCCTAAGTTTCGGATAGATGCTAGAAAGACAAATAATGTGTGAGATTTTATGTAATTTGTTGGAATTTTTTCTTCGATATATTAATTATCATTCTACTAAAATTCTAGTATGCCCATCTTATATGCTGTCCCTATTACATGAGTGTAGTTGTTTTTGCGAAGAAATTGAAAAATACTGCTTTTTTTTAAAAAAAAATCAATACATAACCAATCGCAATCAAATTAATTTATTTATTTTACATTGAATTTAACTTAAGTCTAAAAATAGCTACATGCATATTATTCTATATAAAAACCTCAATAATTATTTTCGCGGGGGCTTTTATTCAAATAACGATTACAGTTACTCATAGTTCATAGTATGTCCGAAGCAAAATGATTTAAGGTGATCTCAAAGCCGAAACGCAAAACGGTTAAAAATAGCTTTGATGAAAGTGGACAGTAAACAATAATATTTTCTAGGAAAGTTATATGGCCCATGATATTTCAGCTATTAAAAAACTATTAACGAACCGATATTGACTTTCGGTTAGTATATCTTTAGCGCTTTTAAACATTATTTGAGATTTAAATTGTCAAGGTCTGTTTTTCTATAATATGTCTTACATATTTTGTAAAAATAGATATTTGTATATAAATTATTGTGACTATTATATACAGTGCCCCAGTGCCTTTCAAAAAGTGCCATCAAATGATTCAATGATGATATTAGTAATGTTGTAAAGCTTACGGTTTTTCAAATATTCAGGGCATTTATGTCTATTTTTTTAATGGAACAACCTTCTATTGCCATCAGCACCTCTACAATATTACCTCTATACTTGATTTGTTTTTGTATATATGTATGAGACTACCGCATTTCTGTTAAAAATTACTGGACTTTGTAAATATAAAGAATAGCTTCCATTTTCAATAGAAAGGTGATACAGGGTGATTATGGAGACGCTGACGCAGGCTCTCTTGGTGCGATGGTGTGTAATATTTAGTTTTGTTTCAATAACCTTCAGAAGAAAGCATACTTAAGTAAATTGTTTGTCTCAAAAATAAAAATTTAAAGAGTTTTATTTGGAAAAACGAAGATACCCATAGTATCTTGGAAAAATGATGAATATGGCAATATTTATAGTATCACACCATTTAACAGAAACCAAATTTTGGAATCCTATCTTTATATTAGTAGATTTCGTGTTTTGCTATTTTTCTAACTATTTATGTCCATTTAGTAGCACGCGTAGCGATTGCACGACGTGTTTAAAACTCTACTCAGTATTTTTGCGATTTCCAGCTGTTTTGATCCGAATCAATTACTTGGTATTTTACCATGGAATTAAATAGTGATGGTAGGGAGAAATAAACGAGGAAAAATACTGAAGAAGTGTGTACTGAACCCGATAAGGAGCCAGGTACTTCTAGAATAGATAACATTAATTTCAGCTATGCCGATATAAATGAAATTATTGGAGTCAATATAAAAAAACCGGAAACAACCAGAACCATATTTTAATCCCAACCAAAAAAAGAGTAAAAAGTCCCAAGATAACAATGGTCCCATTATAAATATGAATGATAACAGTAGTCGTACATACAAAAACATTAATGTGTATGCAAAATACCGGCGCGTTTTTGAATGTGCAAGCGGTAGAATGACGCTCCTCAAGTGAATTCTGGAATCGCTAGAAATTTTGTATGCACACTCGGAATACTGTAGCAAGACTGACGCGAACGTCTGGATAAAGGTGACATGCACGTTGTAGTTTGGACGTTGATGTATGCACGTATATGTATCAAGCCATCCACGTCCGTGTGTAACCGCCTAATAGTTGCAGATCTTCAATCAACTAGCTCTTTAAAGTCTCAAAAAAAAAGTCATCAGATTCAGAGCTCCTAGAATGCTTGAATTTATAGAATTTTTGGTCCTAAAAGTCTCAAGTCAGCAGAGTGTTTATTATGTTTAACATTTTAGAGTCTTTAAAGCCTTTAAAGTTTTAGATGTTCACTTTTTAGTTCTGTGCTTTAAGAATCCTATAAGTATTTGAGTACTTTAGTCTCAATTCGTGAGCCTTAAGAACTTTTGAAAATTGAAATCTCTAAGATTTTCAGAATCTTTGGACGTTTTAGATGAAGAGACTGACAGTCTTGAGTCCTTAAATTTTTTAGCGTCTTCAGAATCTTCAAAGGCTCTTCAGTTTCATATATTCAATCAGCCATCAGTCTATACAATCTAAAATATAAAAAATAGTCTTCAGAGCCCCTAGACTTTACAAGTTCTTTAATTTTGAAACTTTGGAACTGATGCAGTCCTTAGTTCTAAATAGTAAGACTAACATGAGACATTATTCCAACGCCTATAATATCTTCGGAGTTTTAGGATAAATTTCAAATGACTTCTATCAAGAGCCTAGAATCTGGCAATTTTTCGGCGTGTTTAGAATCCTTATAGGTTTAGTCTTAAATCAGTAGAGTTATCATTTTTGAGATCAAGTCTTCATTCTAAAATCTTAAAATATAGGTAAGTCTTCAGACCTGCCAAAATCATTAAAAGTCTTCAGAGTATTTAGTCTTAAGTCATGAATCAATCCTAACACAAATTGTGAGGTCTTACGTCTTATAAGACTTTTATAAGCTTTGGTTCCAAGATCTTTAGAATCTTTGAAAAAAAATCAACAAAGTGATTTTTGCTGTTAGACTTTTCAAAGGTCTTAAATCAAGAGGTCTAAAATCTCTGAAGTCTTTTGATTTTCGAGAAGCTTCAGGCTTGGATTTTTTGGTCTTAGTCTCAAAACAGCAGAGTGTTTATACTCATCATTCTTAAATCTTAAATGAGACCCTTTAGTTTAAATTTTTTCAGTCGTCAGTTCTATGTTTCAAACAAAATCATTAGACTAGAGATTTCTTAGATCTTGGGAGACTTCAAGTCAAGAGTCTTGGGTTTTTGAATTTTCTGGCGTTTTTAGAATCTTTTAAAGGCAGGTGTTCAATCAGCAGAGTCTAGATTCTAAAATCCAGAAAAATGAGTCTTTGTAACCTCTTCTAAAATCAATTTTGGATCTTCAAAACTCATGGAGTCTTCAGTTTCTAATCATGAGCCAATGAGCCTCGCATCCTCGGAGTTTTAAGACTCTTCAAAGATTTCATATCGAAAGCATTAGAATCTGAAAATTTTCAGCGACTTTGAAATCTTCATAGGTTTAACCTTGTGTTAAACCAGTTTAGAGTTTTTCAAGATACTTAAAAATCAGATGTTCCAAAGTCTTCAAATTTTTTCGAATCTTTAGAGCGTTCAAATGTTCTAAATCAAGAACTTTAGGACCTAGATTTATTTGAAATATTCAAAGGCTTCAATAAGGAGACCTAAATTAGCAGAGTCAATCTTGCATAAGAAAGTTTGAGGTCTTCACAGTCTTGCATCTCTAGGATCTTTAGAGCCTTTTTCAAAAATTCATAATTCTATTTCTGAGGCTCAGATTGACTTTAGATTTGCTGTGTTTGAAGGAAAGACTTCAATTATGAATTCCTTGAAGTTTCAAGTTGCTCAGATTCCTGGAAGTATTTTCGGGGATAATACCACGAGAGCTTCAAAATTACCGATAATTTTTCACGATTGCGTGTTTTCTATAATTTCATGAGTCCGTACGACGAGTGAAATTTGCAAAGAAAACACGCATGAGTGAAAAATTATCTGGTCCATTTTCAAGCTCGAGTGGTATTTAGAGGTTTATTTCACGTATGAGAATGCAAAAAATATGGAAATAAATATGTATTAAACGATTTGAACATCTTAACAATCAATACAAATAAATGGTTGCTATCAGGAACCGTTTGTTTGTATCAAAAATTAGCATGACAACCATGTATACAATAACATAGGAGAATTATCGCTGTAATTCTCTCTAGTTAAACAAATGGAAAAGAGAATTTTCGCTGTAATTCTGAAAATCGTCACTTGTCTTATGGGATTTCTAACACATGAGTGGAATAATCGAAAAAATTCCAAAGTTGATTTGTTAAGAATTTTACAAGGATTTTTCAAAAATTTCATAACTCTATTTGTGAGGCTCAGATTGACTTCAGATTTGTTGTGTTTGAAGAAAATACTTTAGTTATACATTCTTGAAAGTTTCAAATTGTTCAGAATCCTGGAAGTATTTTTGAATAAATTCCAAAGTTGATTTGTTAGGAATTTTACAAGGATTTTTTAAAAAATTCATAATTTTATTTCTGAGGCTCAGATTCAGATTGATTTGAGATTTGTTTTGTTATGAATTCCTGAAAGTTTCAAATTGTTCGGATTCCTGGAAATATTTTCGAAAAAATTCCAAAGTTAATTTGTTGAGAATTTTCCAAGGATTTTTTTTGAGTCATGAACTTTCATATGTTGGAAGTCTTTAAGAAGAGTTTTTGATGTCCTTATTCCTGATTCACGAGCCTTTAATTTTTTTTTGAAATTATTTGGCTGACATCATCATGAAATAGTTTTATTATTTATTCATAACAAAACTAGGTGTGTCCCGAGGTATGTCCAAAATTTTTGATTGGGTACCTTTGCAAACTCTTTACACAATACTCATTCATACTTTCATTTGATAAAAAATCTATTATTTATAACGAAAAGAAAATGTTTAATAACATGCTTCATCAATTATTACGTTACAAGGTATTGCTTGCACAAAAATAGACTTATAAGTAGGGCATATTTGCCGAAGTTCTAAGCGATTCATTGAACGCTTTATAATTTAAATTATGTTTATGTGATTTAATTTATTTTAAAACTTTGATTTTGGCGGTCTGAGTAATATTGCCAATGAGTTTCATATATTTTTTTTGCGATTTTCTATAAATTTCAAAGATTCGTTTTATAGTTTACATCCTGCGTTATCAATGAGTTATTTTATTGCATGATGGTAATAAAGCTATTTTTGATTTTATTGAGAAATTAACTAGCTAGCTTTGGGGAATTAATTTCCGTCTCGACGTTTCCTGGTATAAAAACAATGTTGTTGTTGAATAAATTGACAGTTCC